GAGCCCTGCCTGAGGAAGCCTGTGCCTTCCCACAAAGCCAGCCCTGACCCCAGCCCCGGCCAGTGTGCAGCTTCTGGCAGGGCTGTTCCTGCTGTGACTGCAACCAGCTGGGTGCTGCTCTGCTCCCCTTGCCTGTAGTGGGAACTGCCTAGCTGAATCTTCCCCTCCTCCCCTCCACAGTGGTGTAGCAGGGACAGGAGCAGAAGCTGCCGCTGAAGGCAAGGGGAGCGGAGCAACACACGGCCAGCTGCAGCCACACCAGGAGCACCCCAATGGATGTTGTGCATGCTGGCCAGGGCCTGGCTGGTGGGACTGTTCAACTCCCTTCACCTCCAGCGGCTGCTCCTCCTCTTGCTCCTGCCCTTGCTGTGCAGATCTGGCTGAGCAGGCGGGAACCTTCAACTAGGTGGCTCCTGCCCCAGTGCATGGGCCTCCAGCTCCTGGCCACCTTTCACCTGCTCCATCTACCCACGGCTGGCTGCTCATTGCGCTGGGTGGGCAGAGACAGTGGAAGGCAGCTGGGAGCTGCAACCAAAGCCCAGCATGCCAAGGCAGGATCTGCCTGGCTGAAGCTCCCCCCAGTTGCAGTGGCACAACAGAGGCAAGAGCAGGAGGAGGAGCTGCAACTGGAGGCAAGGGGAACAGAACAGCCCCACCAGCACAAGCCCCAGCCAGTGCACACAGCTTCCAGCAGGGCTGTTCCTGGTGTGGCTGCAGCTGATCGGGTGCTGTTCTGCTCCCCTTGCCTCCAGCAGTGGCTCCTCCTCCTGCTCCTGCCCCTGCTGCGCCACTCTGGGTGGGCCAATGGGAGAGGAGCTTCAGCCCAGTGGCTCCTGTTGGAGGCAAAGGGAGCAGAGCAGCACCAGGAACAGCCCCTCCAGAAGCTGCATGTGCTAGTCAGGGCCTGGGTCGAAGGACATGGGGGGGAGCACGGCCCGGGCTGCCCCACTGGGAGTGGTGGGGCTCGGCCCCATGTGGAGAGATGTGGGGGCAGCTGCCGGGTGGATCCAATCAGTTGGAGGGCAGGATCTGTCCTGTAGGCTATATTTTGCCACCCCTGCTATAGACTTATAGGACATATAGACTTAAAGGTTAGCTATTCTTGGTATTATTAGTATTGTATATCTGTGTGCTTGATACCTTATAAATACACTGATGGGCAAGTTCAGGGCCAGGTTTCAGTCTCAGCTGAAATCTAGAGTAACACCGTTAAAGGCAAGAAGGTCTGCTGGATTAATATCTGTGTGACTGGGTGCATCTACACACAAAGTTTACTTCGGAGTTGCCTAATTAGCTCTGCAGTAAACATCTCCATGTCTACACATGCACCCTTATTAAGGCACATGAAACTAATAAAATCCAGAGCAGGCTAGTACTTGTAAATGTAAGTACTAGCCTGCTCCAGAGTTTTTTCATGCGCAGCAGCACAGGTGTAGACACTGCCCAGCTGGCTGGGGCATGAGGGTGCTTCAGGGCAGGGGCTGCAGGCCAGCTAGCCCTACACTGAAGCACTCTCATACCCCACCCAGCTCCTCCACAGTACATTGAGCCTGGTTGGAGCAGCCGAGGGCTGCTGCCAGCCAGGGCTGCTCCGACCAGGCTCAATGTGCTGTGCACAAATAAATTCCAGAACAATATATCCCAGAGTTTTTTGCTCCTGGGTTCACATTCAAACCCCACACCCACCCTGGAGTTTATTCTTGTGCATTAATTGTACATGTACCTACTGAGAGCAAAATTTGGCCATCAGTCAATATAAACCTCCATAGTGACTTGAATGGAATTTGGAGCCGAGCCCTTAAATAGGTAGCCCAACAAATCAGAACAGAGCATGATGGGAAGCAGGCAGGGAACTGGACGGAGAGGAACAACAGTAAAGAAAGGAAAGAGCATACTGGTGATAGAAAAGCTGGCAGGAATTGAAGTGTAGGCTCCACCTTTTCCAAAACTGTCCCCTCAGAAAATGCCAGCTCTTACCTTTCATACAGAAAAAGAATATAGCAGTTTCTCTGTCGCAAAGAACTCAGATAGAACCCAGCAGGTTAGATTGTTTTTGACACTATAGATTTCTATATGAAACCTCTGATTTTATCTTGTGAACCATGGGTAGGTGTTTGGACACCTAACTGTGCTGCTATTATATGGCAATTTCCAATACCCTTAAAAGGATCTCCTGGCACCCCAGACTGCCACAGCATCCTGGTTGAGAATCACTGCTACGGGATGTCATTGTCTAGCTTTCTTTTTTTATTGAGAAAATCAAAGAGAAGTGTCAGTTTGTCCCAATGTGGAACAAAAATAAATTCTGACACTTTTAAATGTTTTATGGAATAGATTTTTTGTTTTCCTGCCAGACCTGAAAAAAAAAATCTGTCCAGCTATATTGTTTGCTTGGCTGTTATGATGATTTGCCAGGTTTTTCAATAATCCCTCTAAAACATATTTCATTTCTGCTTTATTCCTGCTTACAAATGGATGCATTGACATTATGTCCTTTTTTCCTCTTCTAGTGCGTAGAGAGGGACCAGATTTTCAAACGGCCTCAATGTCCAGAGCTCTCCTAGCGATATTTTTCACTTTACTTCAGCACCCAAACATGCACCCTATGTGGTGAGATCTTTTGCAAAACCTACTCAATTTATGTCTTGATGTTGCCCAATTTAAGTCAGTGAGATTTTTGCCCTTGTATTCAGTGGGAGCTGGACTACACACTTGCTGCCTACAGATCTCCTCTGAAAATTTAGCCCTTGATGCATCGTACTATATAGGGAGAGTGCAGTGGTGGCTGTCATCTTGATCACTGCCATCCCGATACATTTTTCTGACTGCTGTTTGCTACCTAATCCTTTTTGCTTCAGGTGAGGGTAGCTAAATGTCTGTAAATTGTATGGACAGTCTGTAAAAAAAAAACAACAAAAAAAGACTAAAACACACGTCTGTGAAGTCCATAAAAATGAGTTGTCCATAAAAAAAACTAAGAAACTGTGAGCTTGATTGAAATCTATCCTTGGTATGAGGCTAGGTGCAAGTACTGATGGACAGACAGAGCAGAGCAGCGTAGAGCAGCACCATCATGTCTGAGCTTGAGTGAAGCTTGACGCTTGCTGGAAGCTCAATATCAGGGCTTTGTGGCCTACAGGAATCTATGTTGCACCCTTCCCCATTGCCACAGGCTGCTTCTGTCTCCTATTGGCTATTGCATGTCAACATAAAGTAGGATACTTGGTCTGCTTTGTCTGGAATCCCGTCAACAGCTCTTCAGCAGAACAGTGTCGGGCCAATATTTATATTTATTTTATATGCATATATGTGGTTTACAAGCAATGGTCTGTAGCATAGCCAAAGCTGTCAGGAATCTACAGTCATCATTACGCTGCAACGTTATGGCCACTCAGAACTTTGTGACAACAATGGGGGGAAGAACAAGAGTCACAAACACTGTTACAGGGAAGATAAATGTACCCATGTGAATGTGAAAGGGCAGCAGCAGTGCACCAAGATATATTAGGGAAAGTGGGGAGCCTAGGGTACCAGTCACCGGTATCTGCACTGGCACCATTTGCCATTGGTTCGCCTGAAATGGCTTCATGTGTCATCCCCCCCACAAGAGAACTTTTAATGGGATTCTAGGGGGTGTCTATTACTATGAACCTACTTCACAAAACTGACGTGGCTCTCACAGCTTTGTGAGTCATGTCATATGCAGGTTTCATGTTGTCAAATCAAACATGCGAGAAGGAATGCCAGTCCTGCTTCATGAAGAGCTGCTAAATGATTTTTCTTGCCCCAGCTGTCAGGTGTTGCTTCTGCCTTTTGCCTCTATGTTTGCTTAGCCATATTTATTTGCTGCTGCATTTGGGACTTAATTCCATTTCAAAGCAGACTGTTACACAGCAGAGAGGTGTTACAAGGGTTACTTGTACAGAAGGCTCAGAGATATAGTTGAGTGAGCATCTTTCTACCAAGAAATACAAAGATGTGATGCAATTATGTGACATTTGTTAGAGTACAGCATGCAAGCATGACACATTTATGTGTGCAGGGCTGGGTTCAGAGGCTTTTAATTTTTAATTACTCAGACAGAAGTCTTCTATCTAAATAAGGACTGAATTAAAGAAAAATCAGTAAGAATGCAGGAATTTGGCAGACAGAAAATAAGCTCTCTCTCTGTAGCTTCATCAACAGAAATGATGCAAAACATTTCAGACAGTTCTATATTAGTGGCATGTCAATCACAAAAGACTCAGAGGTTTGATCTGGAAAAGCATGGCTACATCTGGATACTGATCCAGATCATTTGAGCATGTTTTTCTCTCTCAACAGGGAAAGAAAAGCACGTAGACACACCTCTTTTTTCCCTTGAGCTAACCTTCCCCTGAGTACCAAGAACCCTGAAGCTATTCTTTCCCTTCCCACCAGCCCTTCCAAAAGACCATGGTTTGATAGAGATGTTCAAACCTGGACAACATGGTGAAAAGGGAGGCATGAGAACCTGAAGAGAAGGTTGTGGGAAGTCAGAATGCCTTTGGATGTCAAGGTGTGTAGACCATAATCATGGCTCCCGTGGAAAACAGCATCACAGATTAACAAAGAGAAGCCTAAGTATCTCCTTTCCTGTAAATGGTAGGCAGCATGTTATAGTAGAGAGATTCAAGGTCTTTTTCCCTCTTCATGTAGCTTCAGAGGGCTGTTTTTGGCCAGGAAAGTTGTGGTGATGATTTTCAAAGTGCTGGAAGAGCATTCACTAATTCATCTGAAATATTTGTCTGAGCAGCATTTGAACTTTTGTATGCCTCCATCAAGCAGAGTGCCAAAGCTTGTGTAGTTCAAACATTAATCTTTTTACACAGTCATGATTGTTGGATTAATATCACTGGGAGGTAGCAAATAATGACCTCCTGGGATATCGGTTGAAAAGTTACAGAAGAAAGACTACAAGTGACAGGAATGTGCATGAGTGGTAGATACTCATACTGCCCTTTGCTTTTTCCTTCATTCAGGAGATACAACACAATCCCCGTTTAATCATGGAGGGTGTTAGCAGATTTGATATTGTTCAAGGAGAAAAGATAGGTAAGATCTAAGTGACAAGCATGGAGCAATAGATTGCGGTCCTTTGCTTCTGCTGTTATCTGAGTACTTGGTGTATTTCACTCCACACACACTCAAACCCACAGAGAACACAGGTATAACTATGCTATGTGTATTCTACAATCATTTATACATGGTCTATGGTTCAAGTCCCTTTGAAATCAAAATGACACCCATTGTTGCTATCTATTTACCTCTAGGTGTAGAAAGAGAGGCCTAGTTGAGGCCCAATAGAAAGTAACATTCAGTGGATCAACTTCACCTCAGTGTAAGAATTTGCTACTTCATTTGGCTTTGGGACTGTAAAGTCCTTGTCTAGCAACTTTCAACTTTTTCTTTTCAGGGTCTTCACTTTTACCATCCCTCATAACTAAGCTTACCATAAGGAAATCTGAGATATCCAGGACATTCACATTCATAGTTTCATAGTTTCATAGTTTTAGGGTCGGAAGGGACCTAATAGATCTTCTAGCCCGCCCCCCCGCCAGGGCAGGAGAACAACCCAAAAAACAAACAAACCCTAAAAACAAAAACGGGACTCAAATGAGTCCAGCCAGGTAAGTATCCAGCCTCTTCTTAAAGATCCCCAGGGTAGGGGCCAGCACCACCTCCCTTGGAAGTTGGTTCCAGCTCCTAGCCGCCCTAACTGTGAAGTAGTTTTTTCGGATGTCCAATCTGTACCTCCTCTCCATCAACTTGTGCCCGTTACTCCTTGTTATGCCAGCGGGGGCTAGGGGAAACAGCGTCTCCCCCAAACGCTTCTGGTTCCCCCTAGTGAGTTTATAGACTGTCACCAGGTCCCCCCTCAGCCTTCTCTTGTGGAGGCTGAATAGGTTCAGGTCCCGCAGTCTCTCACTGTAGGGTCTGCCCTGTTGTCCCCGGATCATGCGGGTGGCCCTCCTCTGGACCCTCTCCATGTTGTCCACATCCCTCCTGAAATGGGGCGCACAGAACTGGACACAATACTCCAGCTGCGGCCTGACCAGCATCGCATAGAGGGGGAGGATCACCTCCCTGGCTCTACTCGAGATGCACCTGTGGATGCACGACAAGGTCCTGTTAGCCCTGCCAACCATGACCTCGCATTGTCGGCCCATGTTCATCTTGGAGTCAATAATGACACCAAGATCCCTTTCCGCCTCCGTGCTCTCAAGTAGGGAGTTCCCCATCGTATAAGTGTGCTGCTGGTTCCTACTACCCAAGTGCAGCACCCTGCACTTGTCTGTATTGAAACACATCCTGTTCCTGTTTGCCCACCCCTGTAACCTATCCAGATCCTTCTGCAATCTCTCTCTCCCTGCTAGCGTGCTCACCTCCCCCCAAATTTTGGTGTCATCAGCGAATTTAAACAGGTTGCTTTCCACCCCAGGACATCTGGGACATCGCCCCCCGCCCCTTCCCCATGCTGTCACAAGTTGGTAGGGGTGAGGCAGCATGCCAGGCAAGCAGCAGTGCCTGCCTGCACGGTGCTTTGCACCACTCTGACTCCTGGACAGACTGTGCCCTGCGCCCCTGCATTTTTGATACACCCATTATAATTGCGAACAGCCAGCTGGGACCAGCCTCTGAAATCTGGGGCTGTCCTGGCTAAACTGGGACATATGGTCACACTACTTATAATTATCTTCATTTTCCTTGCAATGGGTATCTGTCTTTATCTTGCTACAATTCCACACATTTCTGCCATCCAGAAATCACGTCTCATTTTGGGAGCCACTATTTATTGCTTTTGAAAGAAATAGCACTGTCACCAAGTTGGTCCTCCCAGCTCAGGGCCTGGCGGTGGCTACACACCATTTATACTCCTTGTAGGTCTTAGGATACTCACACAAGGTAAGGAGCATATTTGTGGAAACCAAGTGGCTCCCTACAACTCCTTCATGGCAGGCAGATACCATGATGGGTGCAGTCTATAAAACAAGTGGTTCTCAACCTTTTTAGACTTAAGGCACCCTTTGTTAGTGTCAAGGCACCCCTCATTAGACTCAAGTCATCCTTTGGAACATGCCAGCTCTTAGTTGATTTTTGACTTCACAAAGATAATAGAACAATTTCTCCTGCAAAGAATTCAGAAAGATCACAGCAGATCAGAATGCCTTTAACACTGGGGTTTCCTTTTGAAATCTCTGAATTTGTCTTGTGAATCATTTTGCCACACCTAGCAGTGAATCACTGCTATAAACTTAAACAGAGAGAAGGATTCATAGATTCTAGGGTCGGAAGGGACCTCAATGGGCCATCTAGTCTGACCCCCTGCCCCTGGCAGGCAAGAAAAGGGTCACCAAACCTGGGATCATGTGATCCCAGTCAGGTGCCTGTCCAGGCGCCTCTTGAAGACCCCCAAGGTTGGGGTGAGCACCACCTCCCTTGGGAGCCCACTCCAGATCCTGGCAACCCTGACTGTGAAGAACTTAAATAGGATAAATAGGAACATAGTCCATGAGGTCTTTGAATTTGGGGCAGTGCTGTCATTCATGCTTGTTTCTATTTTGTCCAAACTGTTTTTGACATTCTATAGTAACCCTGTTCCCAAAAGCAAAACATTAGAAAGAGACAGATCTTGGTAAGGGAGAGGAGACCATGAGGCAGCAAGTGTGATTGCTTTGTTGTTTCTTGTCTCCTTGAAGGTGACTGCTGGGTTCTGGCTGCCCTGGGGTCTTTGACATTGCAGAAGCACTTTCTGGAAAATGTTCTCCCAAAGGATCAAGAATTCCAAAACAACTATGCTGGGATTTTCCACTTCCGGGTAGGTCACATGTTTGTTAGTGGCATTGCTCCAATGTACTTGTCTGGAGAGTACAAGTGATTGTGAACTACAACCCTAATCCTAAGCACCCTAGACCTTTGGAGTGTTCCACAGCAGACCCTTGCTCAGAATTTTGTCAAAGGCTATGATTTTCTAGTAGGCTAACACACTTTCTGTAATCCAGATCCTTCCATGCTTCAGGGTATTGGTATTCTGGTTCTGAGCATTATAGTTTGTGCTAAGGGTGACCGAACAAGCTAAAAGTGTTCTGATTAATTAGTGTACGTGCATATTTAACACGGAATTCTTGTATCTTCTTTAAATCTGTCCCACTGGTTCTCACTGGGCGCGTCTACACGTGCACCATTACTGTGCAGTAACTTAGGTTACTCAGTTAACCGGACTCAGGAGTAAATTTGCTACTTGCATGATGCAGGTAGCAAATTTACTCCTGAGTAGCTACTTCGCAGTAAGGCATATGTAGACACCTCACTGTGCAGTACCCCTGTTTGTGTGCACTGACTTGGGAGTAACTTTACTCCCAAGTCGGTGCACACACAGCATTACTATGCTGTAATGCCTACACATGTAGATGCCAGTCTAAAAACCACTTACTGCACAGTAAATGCACGTGTAGACATGCCCACTGATCAGTAAAGCTGGATTCACTATCTATTTGACCTTTTTCAAGCTTTCTTTGTTCAGCATCTTCACCTTGCACTGACATCCAACAGACAGGAGACATCGGCCGTTTGAAATTGCTCTGCTTCTGACATTTTAAAAGTAGGCCAGATTCTAAGCCTCCCACAACTAGGTGAATATGTGACTCTCTAGTGTGTACCCTGACTCCCCTCTAAGGCTGAGTATGGTGCATGGTGTGTAATGCATGAGCTGTTTTTAGAGGAGTTATCATAAAATGGAGGCTTTACAAAACCAAACATCTCATAATCCAAATACTAAACCACAGAGGGAGAAGAACCATTACATATCACCTTGTCCATTCCTCACAGCCGATGCATTTTGTCTTAAATACATCCTGTTACTTTTGTGCAATCTAACATAACTAATTCTAGCAGTTGGGTGTACACCGCTTCTCTTGAGAGTGTACGCTACAGTCTAACTACTTACTGTACAGGAGAACTATCCTGATATTTCATCTAAATCTTACTATATTCCATTGCTCCTGGTAATGCCAGGTGTTTCAGGCTCATTCCCAACATGCAGAGGTGCAAGATAAACCAGCTGGTCATACATTAAAATGAAGCAAATGAGACTTTCTTTCATAAGAGCCTCAAAAGGATTATTTAGGAGAAATCCTTAAATCTCAAGCTGTATAAATACATTATAGCATTTGAAAATGTTTTCTCTGTCCTCTCACCTGCAGATAATACATCTGCTTCTATTTTTCCTGTAACAAGCAACCAAGAAAACAAACTGAATGAAAATTCCTCTTCAGCAGTACCCTTCAATTATTCCATCAAGGATATTTTAGTGCTGTCCCCAGCTCTCAGTTCCAGGCAACATCACTAACAAGCTTTCAGGTTTTCATACGCTGATATGAATCACATTTTATTTTCCTATATTGTTTTGTTCCTTTTCAGCGTTCTTCACTTTACAAACTGTGGGCCCAGTCCTATCAGCTGCTGAGGGTTTACTATAAAATGCTGAACCTGGTCAACTCCTAATATGGTTATCAGGAGTGAAGGAAGCTCAGCGCCATATGAATATGAGATTCCATGGATCGGATCTATCCCTGGAGTACCTGCACTGAAGTTAATTGAGTTCCTTCAGTGATAACTTAATTCTTAGGGTGCACACGAATCGCTTTGTCCACCACATGAATTGGTACCTCTGGGGTAGAACACAGCAGCCATGGTAACACTGCACTGCAGCAGTTCAGAGATGCAAAAGTATTCTTTCTCCTTCTGAAAGATTTGGAAGAACAAAGGTGGAATGGTTCTACCTAAGATGAAGACCAGTCATGACACTGGGGGTAGAGTCCCTGATCCTGTGAAAAGGTTGCTGGGATCTCTAATGAATACAAGTGATCAAAGCCTCAGCTTCAGGGCTCATTCAAAAGGCACCTTCCAAAAACTACCATGGCCCATAACCCTGTCTACCACAGGAATTGAAACTCAGAGGATTTTCATCTCTGCTATTCTTGGCATCCAGTTGCCAGCTGGTTAGTAAAATAAAAGTCATAAAAGCAATGTCATTTTTTTAAAATCAGGAGACCGCCTTCCTGATTTTATTGATTAAGGAAACCAGTGGGTGTCAAGAGCTGTCTTCCTTGCATGCAGCCTCAACAGGACCCTTCCCTGTCCCATTCAGTATAATTCCCTCAGCTGAAGTCCTGAGGCAAACCTCCAACATCTTGCTAAGCCTGAGTCATTGGTCCTGTATGTGTTCAGAGGAAGTGCTCCCCTTCTTTGATCACCAGTGCCACTTCCAGCAGCATGCCAGGGTTTGCCCGGGTGTTCATATTCAAGTGCTGGCTCCACTGTGGGTGAACTGTCTAAGTTTGTGTGCTCTGACAAGCCCAAACAGGCATGTCTATTGGAGCCTCAGCAGCCCTCTTTATCCAAGCGTAAAAAATGCAATTCTAAAGTCAGAAGGTCTCCTAGACTGTACTAATCTCCAAACAGAGGCAAGAGTCACGTTGTAGTTTGAACTTTACTCTTGACTTATGGAAAATCTCCAATATCTGGATTCAAATTGCACTAATCCCCAGACACAGCGCATTGTTTGTACTCTGGAAATATGTTTGCTTGTTATGTTTACACATGAGGTGCTGTGTGAAGGTGTGGCTAAATTGCAAACCTAAATCCTTTACACCTATGCTTCCCGCTTTGTGAAGTTGGCTATTGGACTAAGCTTTCCTTACTGAGCCAGTACTCTCCACTCTGGAAGAAAAGGGCATTTTCATTTAGAAGGACAGCAGTTTAGATTTCATAAGTACTCTCCCATTTTTGACTTTCCCTATACATATAAGCCTAAACTACAGACAGGCTAAATCTAAGGCCTCGTATACAATCCATCTCTCTCCAGATTTCAGTGATTCAGAGATAACCAGTATTCTAAACAGCCCTGGCTTTCATGTTATAAAATATGAACCCACTTCTTCGTCCTGTATTTAGCCTAAAAAAATGGGTGGTTTGGTGTCAGGCAGACTGAGACAAATTATCTATCCCTCCTTTTCATTTAAAATCGCTGAGCAAGTTGGTCACTGAGGGTTTCAAGTGCAAATAGCAATACTGTTTTAATAGAACAAGTCATCTTTGTATTTTTCATTCTCCAAAGCCACAGTTATTCTGAGCTAACTCTACCCCAGCAAAACATCACTGAAGTCCTTAGCAGTAAAACAGCTCTGAATGTGGCTTCCTATGATTGCAAAGTCATGCTGCACTGCATTAATCTGCTAATGACTCCTTTAGATTTTTCCCCACTGATCTCTCTCCTTATCTCCCTCCTTGAAATGTTTCATCAGCTGGATCAGTCAGAAGAACACCTGTTCTGCCCAGCTGCTGAAGTGGCCAGTCACTTCTTTTCCATCTATCAAGCAGATGGATAATAGCCCAACGTCATGCTTTTTCTCCCTCCCTCACTGTTCTCTATATGGCCATTACAGATCATATAAAAGTTTACAGAGAGCTATATCTAAGCAGGTTTTAGACTCAGGAGGATAGAAATAGAAGAAAAATCCAGAGGCTGGAACTTGATGGAAGGCGTCTCCGACCAAAAGGTGTCCACAAGAGAAGACCCAGACAGCTGAGTTGTGAGATTTGCCATTTTGTCTAGACACTTGAGTTTTTTGTTTCTCTGAAATACCTGCTGTAGTCCAATTATTATTGATACCCACCTCCTAACATGTCTATAGCATTTTTCATCCAACAGGATCCCAGAGTACTTGATGTCCCCATGTGACTTCACCTGCCATTGAAAGGCAGTCACCTTTAAAATGAAACTCAGCAGCTTGTTTAACCGTGCGCAGCAACAGTCCAAAACAGTTGAGGAGAGGAAGCAAAGACATTACACACATCCCTGGTTTAGATTCACTCTCAGGCTATTTCTGGAGACTGTTGTTTGGAAAGAGTATTTATTCTTAAAATAGGTTCATTCTTTTATTTTTTTTCAGTTCTGGCATTTTGGAGACTGGGTGGATGTGGTGATAGATGACAAGCTGCCTTTCCTTAATGACGAATACCTGTTTGTCCACCCTCGGACGAGAAATGAATTCTGGCCCTCCCTCCTAGAAAAAGCATATGCCAAGTAAATATACTCAAGGTGTATTTTTCTTTTCCACTGCAGAGTCCTTCATTTATGTGGGTATATGCTGCAACTGCTGCTATGGATAAAATATCCTGTGTAGCACTGCTTGGGATCAGTCACTGCTTCTGAGTGCTGGATATGTAATAAATAGAAGCTGCATATACAGGGAGCCAACACTGTCTGAAGACTGTAGACCTTGGACTGAAGACACAAAGTTCCCTGCATCAGTTCTGGGCTTTTGCGTGCTAGCTGGAGTTTAGAGCAGTAACACAGTAAGGTTAAAAACCTTCTCTGACTGTCCCTGACCTAAGGAGCATTATGATCCAATGAATAGGGCATTGGTTGGAAACTTGGCAGACTTGGGTTTTACTGGTATTTCCCTCTTCACACCTGAACTGATTTCATATTAGGCAAGTCACCTTACCTCTCCTTCCTTCCCTCCCATGTTTGTTTTTGTTTTAGGTTATAAGCTGTTCAGGGCGGGGGCTGTGTTTGCACAGTGCCTGACACAAAAGAGGCCCTTCCTTAGTTGAGGTCTTTAGGTGGTATCATCAGTGGCAAAAAAACCCAGTCCCTGCTGACAGCCATGTGTTCACATTCACAATTGTGGCAGCAACCAGAAGTCACCACTTCTGCTTTGTCCTGGATGCTCAGCTGTGTTCCTGCACTGCTGGGCACCATCATATTAGCAATAATTAGAAGTATAGTTATGAGTAGGAACTGAATTTTGGACTTTTGGCACCAAAGACATTGTCCTTTATTAACTGAGCTAAAGAAGAATTATTGGGCGCATCCAGATGAGTGCACATATGTGTTGTGTGGTGCCTCAAAGCTGCTTGAGGCACTGCAAATCACACACGGCACATGCGCACCCGTTTGCTGCACTGCTAATTTGCAGCCTGGCAGCAAAATTTGACACTGCTGTCAAAAAAAGCTGCATCAAATAAAAGCACTGTGGTACATGTGGCATCAGCATGCACCTCCAGAAACAGAGCCTGGCCATTCAGAGCCACACTTTGGCTGCTGACCAGGCTCCAAGCAGCCAGGTTAGACTCACTACTGCCCCAAGAGGCCCCCAAGTCCCTAGGTAAGGCTGCTGGGGCCAGCACAGGTGCTGGTCCCAGCCTCCCGTACCCTAATTGTCCCTGCCCAGGACAATTTGGTATGTGCTGGAGCACACATACAGGGGCATGGCCTTGGGCACAAAGCAGCAGTACAAATAGGTGCCACTGCTATTTGTGTCTCAGCAAATGCACACTCCTGCATATGCATGCTTGGCTAGATGCACCCATTATGGGTAAGTTATAGGCTGGGGCCAGTAATTAGAAGACAGGACATAAAGCAAACCTGTGTATAACATAGGGTTTCTCAACTGCGATGTTGCAACACCCTGGGGTGCTGCAAGATCATGTTAAGGGTGCCATGGCACCCAGCCCCGCTGCAAGGAGTTAAGCATCTGCTCCTCCTCCTGCCTAGCCCCAGGCATCTCAGTGCCTCATGAATAAGCAATGCTTGTGGCTGCTTCCCACCCCCAGCAGCTCGCATGCTGGTCACCTGCATGTTCCAAGCAGCTTGCTCAGCCATGGATGGGTTAACCAGTGTGGGGCTGTGGGATTGTGCTTTTCAGCCTGCGTTGAACCTCAACTCCTCCCATGCTTCCAGGACTGGCAGGAGTGGTTGCAGGAGCAGGTGGCTCTGGGCTCTAGTCTCCAGCATGCAAGTTCCTGGAGGAGTGACTACAACTGTGATGGCCATACTTGTTCCCTCAGGTGCAGACCACCTAAGCCACATGGTGGAAGATGGGGGTGCAATGTACTACCTCCTCCTTGTGTCCCAGGGTTGGGAGGTTCTCATTAGCATAACTCTACATCCCAAAGATTTCTGTAAGAGGGTTGACCCATCTGGGCCCCATTTTTACCAGCAAGATTAGTTTTTGGGAGTCTTTTTAGTGCGTTCAAGTGTCAACTGGTGCAGTAGCAACAAATTCCTCACACATTTTATTCTTTTGCAAAATTTGGAGAAGCAAAATTTGGGAAAGATCAGTGATTCTCAGTGCACGTAATGCAGCACCCTGGGTACTATGAGATCCTTTTAAGGGTGCCACAAGGTGCGAGGAAGTAACCACTGTAATATATGCACATGCTTTTGAAATGGGGTGCTGCTTCCATAGAAGTTACCAAGGGGTGCTTTGAATCTAAAAAGGTTGGGAACTATTGGCATAACACATACACACACAGCACTAAACATAACCTCTGCATTTTAGTAAATTTATTAGAGGATAAGCAAGTGTTAAAGCATTTGTGAGACTCAGAAATAGAAGACTTTCTGTCATGCTATATCTCAGAAAAGTTGACTAAGTTGCCGGTCCCACTTTGCTGGGTAAGTTTTCAATTACAGAGTGAACTGAGCCTATATTACATTAAAATTGCAACAGATGCTGTTTATGAGATTTCCATTTGAGAAGGTTTTTCCCTGCATACATGGTAAATTCCTTTAATCAGTGTAGGACAAGGACATTGCTTAAAAATACAATTAGCCTCAAATTTCATTTTCTGATTCTCCAGTTTATTAAGTACAGTGTACCCTGTGGTTTTTAATGACATGCCATACCTGCTCTAAGCACAGTGCATTTTAACTCATATTCTTTGCAGTTTCAGTAAAAGCTTGTGGCACGCAGCATGAGGCTAGCATATAGCACAGTGTATTCTGACTCAGGCGATCACAGGTCTGTGTCTGCTTCTGGCCTGCTGAGTGACATAGATAAATCACTTCACTACTGAAGGGCTCAATTTCCTCATTTGTAAAATGGGGATAATCATATCAGATTGCTTTGCTTTGGAAACTATTACTGGGAAAGAGCAAAAGGGTGTCCCTCATATGATCTTGAGAGAGCACCGGTGGTGAAATACCTTTTTTATTGCATGGCTGCTCAGTTGCCAACGTGAAATCAGCAGTGGTCTAAATTCAGTTTCTAGAGCTGAAATGGAACTGGAGTAGAGCACAGAGCCACTGCTAGCATTCCTGTCATGGAAAAAAATCAGTCTTTGCTTGATCTGTGCAATAGCCCTGTTCATATTTTATGCTTGTGATTCAAATCATTCTTCCCTCTATTGCCTGATTCCACTGGTTGTGCAGTCTGATACATCTGCAAAGCTAAAGAAACTGCTCTTCAGTTCAAGTGGCAAGACCATTAGTTTTGGTCCTTACAGTCCCAGATTTCATCCCAAGGAAATCTACTGTATCTAGGGCTAAGTACAGACAGTGAAAAAGCCCGAGGCTGAATTGATTCAATCTTTGTAGATTGGTCTATACTACGTAGATTGAACTGATAAACAAGTGAACAGACATTCACTTTTGATTCCAGAAATGTAGCCACATGCCTGCAGTGGCTGAGGCCAGAAGCTGGGAACCACTAGAGCACAATTCCCTACTGGGTTGGGCAGACAGCTTGGGCCAAGGGTAGCCTGCCCACCCTGCAAAGGGGGGGAGGGGGGCTTTGGGGGAGGTGTAAAGCATCCTGGGATTCTGGGGGACTGAGTTAACTTGAATCTAGAGGAGATCTGGGACAGAATTTCAATAAAACGATTTAACCTAAATCAGTTAAGTCTGATACTACATCCATCCAGGTTTATCTTAAACCAGTTTTGGCCAGTTTTAAAGTGGTTTATGTATACTGAACTTCTGTTGTTTACAGATAGGAACCAGTTTCCGATCACTTATACTGGGTTATGTGTAACTTATGTCTCTAGCCTAGGTGTGCACATATCCCTTCCTCCTGACACAATGCCTTTGTAACATGCTTATGTACTCAGAGAGCTTTAAATAGGAATTCATTTAGTTAACTTACTCTGTGCATCACTGATTAAGATGGACTATATGGACAAATACATTTCCCTTCTATTCAGGTTACGAGGCTCCTATCAGAACTTGCACTGGGGTTACATTTCAGAAGCTTTAGTGGACTTCACAGGGGGAGTCCAACTGCACCTTGATTTGCCTGCCTCCATTCCTAAGCTGGAGGAGGTACTGAAAGCAGCTGACAAATCATGTTGCCTGATGGGCTGTACCACACCTGGAAAGGTAAGTACAAGGTCAATCTTCCTTGCTTTTACTATATCTGTATGAGGGTAGCATCTCTGAAGGACTTCCTGTACAACAGAAACTCTCAGAGGTGGTCTGTATATGTCTGTATTATGTCTCTATGGGTCTTATGGTTCTCTCTGGCTCTCAGTCTAATTACAGTGATGAGTATCACCAGAGAGGCTCTCCCTACCTAAATGAAAGGCTGAGATACTTAGACAGAAAAACCAGATGCTGAAGTCCAGAAGAAATTTTATGGATCCAAAGTACTTAATAGGCCTGTGCGAAGTGGCTAGTATTCACTTTGGATTCGGCCAATTCGGGGGACAGTGATTCCGTTTGGTGTTTTGAATCACTATCCTGAATCAACTCGGTTGAATCTGATTCAGAGATTGGGCTGCTGCCAAATCGGCTGAATCTCTGAATCGGCCCTATCCCCCACCCACTCGCTCTCAATGGCTGCCCTGCTCAGCCCCAGCTCCCAGCTCTTTGAAAAAAAAACAAACCCACTCATTGGCTCCTGCCTGGCAGAGGGGTAATCCCCTCTGCCCCCACCACTCCACGCCACATGGGGGGCTCTGTCATGAGCCCCCCAACCCTCACCCACTCTCCCAGCCCCCCCATGGTTGCCCTGCCCAGCCCCAGCTCTGGCCCTTTAAAAAAAAAAACCAACCAAAAACCATAGACTCACTGACTCCTGCCCAGCAGGGGGGTGATCCCCACTGCCCCGTGCTGCTTGGGGGGGGATCTTCCACGAACCCCTAGAAGCCCTGAGGCTGCTGCAGCAGCCAGTGAACCCAGAGTTTTTGGGGTTTTTTTAAAGGGCCAGGAGCTGCAGCAGGTGGGGGAGCCATGGAGAGGGGCTGGGAGAGCGGGCAGGAGTCAGTGGGCGCTCAGGGGAGTTGGGGGAGCAGGCGGGGGCTGGGGCCAGGCAAGGGTCCCCCCATGGTCCCCTTCCCCTAGCCCTCTCTCCCCCGCCCCCTACTTACCAGCATGGAGTCTGGGTCCAGCTCTTTGCTGCAGCCAATTGCCAAAGCTCTCTAAATCTTTTCCAAATCAATTCAGAGAGCTTTGAATCAATTTGACATTTTAATTGGTCTCCTGATTTGATTTGGATTCGGAGATTCAGCCACTGAATCGGGCTGAATCTCCTCTGAATCAAATCAGCACCTGAAGCTTTGCACGGCCCTAGTGCTTAACCTGTAAATTTGGTTTATAAATACTGTTCCTAGATAGCTCCTGATCAAGCCTTAGACCCCTTGTACCAGGGTAAATTTGGATCAGTGACTTTGGGACCACAATTACAACTCAGTTTCTAGGAAAGGAGGACAAAAAAGAAAGTATTTGGAGGTGCTATTTGATATTGACTAATATTTCAATTAATAGAATCTACAGTTAAAGGCTAAATAAGGCAAGTTCTTCAAAGCCTGAAAATGCATTCAGAGTTATGAGGAAATGATGTAATGCTGCTTTTTGGGCCAGTCATGTTCTGGTAGGGGCATCACAAAAGGATTCACAATGTCTGCTGGCAGGCTGCTAAGAGACTCCTGCAGATTTATACAGAACATGCAGAGTTCCAACCAAACATGTGCCATGCACTCTTTACTGCCTAGTTCACTAGAGGATAGAAGTCTACTACTGCCAAGCAGATAATGGAAGGATCCCTTCACTTCAAGCAGTACAGACCTCTAATGAGCTGTAAGACCTCTACTACTATCAATGACCAAGTTGCTCCAAGTCTGGACCATTAAGAGATTTGCAGTTGCACAATGCCCTCACTATTTCATTAAGGTTTTGGGACATGCGTATGGCTATAGCGTGACCTATTGCAGCTGAGATTCTGATGTAAACCAAAAGTTGGTCCCTTTTTTTTTTCCTTTTCTTTCCTTCAAATAAATCAAATATCAGTTATGCGCATGGATGAATAGATTCTTGCTAGTCCTTCAGAGGGCTAAAGACTGTGCTATTTTCTTTTCAGCAGTCACTTGGAAACACAGAATGGAAGAATGGACTTGTGAAAGGCCATGCCTACACTGTGACAGGGGCCAGAGAGGTAAGCATTGTAATCCTTCCTCAATCCCCAGTCCTGTCTACATTAGTAGTTGTTCTTCTAGTCTACTCTGGACTACTTCAATAGATTTTAAAATCAGAAGAGACCTTTACAGTCCTCTAGTGTACCCCCCCATACAACACCAGACCACGGTGCTCACTGCAAGGACTGTGTGTGAAATTCAGTCTTTCTACAGTCTCTGATTCTATGAGCACGTAAACATGTGCAAATACAGCAGCTGGAATTAATATGCAATACGTCGCTGAGGCTTGCAAACACCGACACTATTAAAGTGGTGCAAAAGCACTGAGCCCGCTTTAAAGTGTTGTGCACACACACCTTTGATTTTGTCTACGCACGGCCTAGTACTCTAGAGTAAACTCTCCCAGGCATGTGTCTACACGTGCAGGGATGCAGGAGCTGATTTGCTGGTCCTAGGAGCAGACTGCTCCTGCTCCCTGCAGCCCTGCACTGGGCCCCTGCAGCAGCCAGGGGGAACTCTCTCTGGGCTCCCCCTGGGTGCTGGCCCAGGAGCTGGGACATTGCTCCCTGTCCTCGGGAAATGCGTGCTGCCAGGGTGGGCTCTGCTTCTGGAGCCCGGGAGGGGACAACATCTCCCTGCTGCAGCAGCAGGGAGCTCCCAGTCCCTGCTCTGTGATCATGGGGCTGGGACTGAGAGAGCCTTATCTCCCAGTGCCAGCTCTATGGTTGGGGGGCCTGGGCTGGGAGATTTTTATCTCCCAGCCCCAGCTCCATGGTCGCGGGGCCAGCGCTGGGTGATCCTTATCTCCCAGTGCCATCTCCACGACCACAGAGCTTGCACTAAAACAAAATTTGAGGGAATTTCCATTCCACCAAAAAAACCTAAAAAACAAAAAAAACTTTTAATCTCGTCTTGGAATAAGATAAAAGTCATTATGGCATAACATCAAGATTCTTTCAGTGCTGGATAAAATAAATGACTTTTTCTTACATTTTAAGGTTTTTATTCATGTGCATCTCCCCTCCTGCCCCAATATTAATAATACCTGACTAGGGGAAAAGCCCATTTTGGGGCAAAGATACACTCCACCAGTTCAGTCCAAAAGATTCATTTCAGACAGCATTTTTGCTTTTGCAGCAAGGTCAGAGCTATCTTGTGGAGCAGTTGCTCATGGTCAGATTGGTATGGACTGTGGGGTTTTTCTTGCCTTCCTCTGTAACAGAGGGTGTATCCCTCTACCCAGGATCTCGAGTATATATTGACAACATTTCTTAGAAGCAGGACATTGACTGCCATGGTTCTCCTACTTCACCTGTGGCAGGTTAGGGTGTTAGGTTTGTGTTGTGTCAGGGTTGATGGTAGAGTTTAGATTATGGTTTGTATGGGATGGTTTGGATAGAGATAATCCTGCTTCAGACAGGGATTGGACTAGATGATGCGTGAAGGTCCCTTCTAACCCTACTTCTCTTCTCTCTGTGGATGTGTTGACGGGGACAAAACAAATGGGGAAGCCAGACAATGACTTAACTTCCGCTGGAGCCTGTTGTCCAGCTGTGACTTTCAGAGGGAGATTTGCCATGCCCTTTACTCCAGAATCTCAAAGCACTTCGCAAAGGGATTTGTTTTCCTCACCCAAGTGACAGTCCCCCTCTAGCACCCCAGCCCAAGCCTGCCTTCCCAGGAAAGGACTTTTGGTTCTGTAGCAACAGGTCAGAGCAACCAAAGACCTAAGTATCATTCCTAGCTCCAGTCACTCCTTTCCTCAGGGAGAAAATGCTCTGAGTCACTCGACAGTGACTCTTGGATGATTGAAGAGTTGACCGAATGGGCTCCAGAGTAATCCCTATCCGGCTACCACAGATAAAGGGGAACTGTTATGATCTTGAGCTCTGTGAAGTAGAGGAGTAAAAGGGAGATGAGCAGGGGTGGGAATACCACTGCTACTGCTTTGTATGTGTTGGGGAAGCACAATATCAAAATCACTGGCAATGCGTAGAGGGTGCACTCCCTGAGATTGGCAGTGCATGCTCTGAGATTGACTGCTGCTGCCATGGTCAGTGGTGCCTGGGGGCGGTTGCCACTCGCCACCCCCCCCACTCCACCAGTGGCATCTGTGGGTGGTTGCCAATTGCCAGTCGGCACTTGCCACTTCCCTCCCACTCACCACCAACATTGCCGTGGTCACCTCCAGGAGCTCCCCACTTGCCACTGACATGCCTCCGCTGCCAACACTGCCGCTGCTGCCTGCAGATGGTTGCCGTGCCCCCAGCCTCAGGAGGCATGCAACATTCATGATCAAAATGGTGACTATAGTATAGAAAGGTGAAGAGTCAGGGGATGTAATTTGGCGAAGTTCCCCTAAAGCAGCAGTTCTGAACCAGGGGTACATGTACCCCCAGGGGATACACATGAAGCCTCATCAGGGGGTACATAAGATATATTTCATACATTATCTAACACAGGTCGAAGGGCCTAAATAAAATTAATTTCCCATTGCAAGGTGGTACGTTAAGTCTTACTCTGAGACCAAGGGGTAAGTCAAGTGAAAAAGGTTCAGAACTGCTGCCCTAAAGCAAATCAAACGATATAGATTTACAGCAACCAAGGAAGGATCTCAGCCTGTCTAGGGATTAGAGAGCAAACCCAAGAGCCAGAAAACCTGAGCAGCTGTTCCCAGCTCTACTCCTGACTTCCTGTGCAAACACAGACAAACTGTTAATCTGCCAGTTTCTAGCACATGCAAGAGAAAAATGCTGCCTATTTACCTCTCTCACAGGAGCACTGCCGAGGAGAGGAGTGGGGTATCATCTTTGGAAAGCTTGTAAGGAAACTGTCCCTGTTTTTTGTGGAAAGTTTTCTGCCTGTACTGAGCATTCATAACCTCCAGTAACTCCCTGAGTCTATGATGAAAGTTAAAGGCAACGCAGAAGGCCTAGTTCCCCTATCACTTGTCAAGTTTACTGCCACTGACTTCAGCACTGTTACTCCTGAGTTAAGCCAGCGAAAACAGGAGAATCAAGCCCAGGAACTCCAGTTCCTGAAGAAGAAAAAGTCTACCCCCTTAGCAGGAAATACTGAGCTCAAAAGAATCAGGGATTGGATTTCAAGTTTACAGTGAGTTTACAAACACCACAAATAGACCAAGAGAAAAATCCCCAGTCTCCTCCTCTAAGTATCACTCCCATTTCCATATGCTTTATCTCGGCCTTGTACTACAAAATCTTTGACTTGACTAGCTCAGAAATGCCAATTGTATGGAATTAGTAACTGCATTTTCCTATTTGTGTCACAGTACTAGATGGCAAGTCACTGACTGCTTGTCTCTGTATTAGCTCAGTGCTTATTGTGCTACAGGAGGAATGGTCATGATTTTCTCTTATGCTTCATTTTTCTACCACACAGCAAGGAGGCATTGATTTTTAGCTGCTGCCAAATTAGGTCAAGAGTTAAATCAGTCCTCAGAGGTGCAAAGGTGTGTTATCCATCTCTGCATATCCTGATCGTGGAAAGCTATGACTCCTTGGCTTTTTGTTCTTTTCCTTTACAGATACCTTACAAGAATGGCTCAGAACACATAATCAGACTGTGGAATCCTTGGGGTCATGGGGAATGGAAAGGACCATGGAGCGATGGGTATGGATTTAAAGATTTAATCTTGTCCAAAGGCTAGATTTATTGCCAGAGTGGGCCACCCGAAATCCATCAGATGAAAGCCCCACTTGCAAAGCTATCTCCCACAGAAATCCAACTGAGGACTAAAAACATGAATGTGATGTTACTTTTATACGTGCTCCTAGCTGCATCTAGTTCAGCCATCCCTTTGTCTCTAGCAACCAACTTTTACTGTGGATAACTACAGGTCTGGTTATCTACTGTCTCTATCTGAAGTAGGCTCTGAACATGCTCTTGAGCATTTATCTGATATTTAATACTTCCATCCTGTATAGGATTAATTTCTGTGCTGCTGAACAAGGGTGTCTATGTAAATTTATCCTGCTGCAATATTACATTGGGTGCTATCTCTGTAATGTTGAATCTTGAAGGGGGAAGAGCTAGCAAGAGGGCCATTAATGAGGGCACAAATCCATTGGTCATCTGTCGATAGCTAGCCAGTGGGACAGGTTTTTATGTAATTGAATGGGAGGAAAGAGGATGGGCCCCAGAGGCAATGTAAAAGCATAGAGCTTCCATTTGTATAACCGTAGTCTTGAATGGATCTTCTGGGTCCTGCACAGATCTCAAGGAGTTTCTAGGTTTTGCAAGCTGGCCCTCCTGCTTGCTCTACTTGGGTATCCATCCTCCCTTCTGAGAGTAAAAATTATCTAGAGAAAATCCCATGGCTTTGTTGAGCTATTGAAAACTATCTGTACTGAGACCAAGCTGAATCTAGCTCTTGTGATTTCTGTTTCTGACTGAAGCTGGTGTTTTCTGAGTGAAGAGCTGTACAGGTGCCACTATAATATTGTGATTTAATAACAACAATTCTGCTCTCCTCTGGTGCTAACAATGCTAATAACTTCTCTGCTGAGAAAATAAGCCTGGTACTTAATGTCTGTATGGGCTGGTGGGAATGTAATGTGTGATGCAGATATGTTTGAGCCCGGGATAATAGCTATCTACTCAAGACAGCATTTCCCACTTTTTGGAAGGGTGAACTATAATCCTAGCTATAATTGAAATTTCGCTGGAGCACGCTTACAGGTAAACTGCATAAATCAATAAATTATTGATTCATGCTCTGTTTATTTATCTTACGCTCTGCAGAAAATACAATTATCACTTAATTATAAAACTGCTGTTTGGAAATAACACAACCGACTGGCTAATGTGCTCTCTGCATGGCAAGAGCACCGAGAGATAATATCAGCATTAAAAATGTTAAGCCTCAGTAGCTCACTAAACATTCAGATATTAAGGTGTATGTTCAGGAAGGTGGAAAATGGGACGCAGAACTTTCCACTTCTAGGTGGCTATTCAAATGTCTTTGCTGCACATCATTGCAGTGCTGTTGCCTAGCCTGTGAAAAACAAAGTGGTGGTTCCAGTTCAGTTCCCAGTGGACAGCTGTCCACAGTAGCTCAATGATGAGTTTAAATAGATGGGCCAACAGCCAGGTAGGCCTGAAATGCAGGAACACCCTCCAATTCTCTGTAACTAATTCTGCCATGGTTGAGGGAAAAAAGCAGCCTTGCAAGTGGAAGTAAAGTCAATCAAATGCTTTTTTAACTGTAAAATTGCCTTTTCAACAATACACCTTTTTAACAAAGTTGCACCCAAAACCCCCTTATTTCTCTGTGTATGTGTGTGTATAATACAGTTGAATGTAGGATGGCCTAAAAAATGTTTTTTTTAATATATATACCACATTTCTGTAATATACACACAGACATATATTACAGAAATGGCCTAATTTTATTTATAGAGATATATCTATATAGATATAACAGAAATGAGGTGTACATATATTTGTCAAAAATATCCCTACACTTTTAGTCCATCATATGTCCAACAATTCATCATTTTTGTGTTTTTCAACAAAAACCTGTGAAAAGTGAAAGAAAAGATTGGATACAAATGTTTTTTCTTGATTTTTTTAAAGGTGGGGAATGGGTTGAAAACTCACCATTCCTGTGTTGACTCAAAGGAGAAACTCCCATACCGTCTGGGGGCCGGGTAGAGTATAGCAATGCAAGTTCTTGTTACAGCTCTTGGGGTGTGTTCTTTTAGGCAAGATCCTAGAAACTAGTTGTTCTGAACTCAACATGGTGCTGAGGCCAGAAAGATGACTTTATGCAACTTTTCTGCCTCCTTGGCATATATTTCCATGTGTAAAAAGGTAAGTTATTAATCATGGATTGTTTGTGTCATTATCATGTATGCTAAATAGGGGGAGGTCCCTCAGTAGACAGGAAGATGATTTGGGTATGGATAGGTGGAGAAATAGTCGTCAATATGAAAATGCATGAAAAGCATTACATATCTTTAATTGTTGCTTACTGTTCTGTTCCCTTTCCCAGTTCTGCCGAATGGAATCGAGTTCCAACTGAACAAAGGAGAGCTCTCTGTGAAGAGAAGGACGATGGGGAGTTTTGGTATTTTCCCATTAATGGTTTTGTCTTCTGGGGTTTCTATTCTTGTTTCTTTTAGAACCAGGGTGGGAGATGAAAGGAGCATATTCACTTCCTCTGCTTTCAGTCACCCTATGCTAGACATTTTACCAATGCATCTTTGGATTAGTCCTTGGGGTAAGCACTGTATTTAATGAACTAAATATGAGAGGAGAACCGGTGAATATTGGCATAAAAGCCACGTTCAGATGAGCGCGGCTGCATGGTATGTGGTGCTATAGACACGTCTGTGGCACCACATACTGTGCGTTCAGTTGCTCTCCGTACTGCAAGGGAGCAGCATGTGTGTGTGGGGGGGGTTGTTGGCCAGGCTTTGTGCAGCAGGCTTACCATTGCTGCAGCCCCGGGAGGGCCCCAAGACCTCAGGTAAGACTGTTCGGGCCAGCCCACCGGGAGGGCCCCAAGACCTCAGGTAAGACTGGCCGGGCCAGCCCCCTGTGGGTCCCAGCCTCCCCTACCCCACCCAGGGTAACTTGCCACGCACCAGAGGCTGTGTGGCACAGGCATTCCCCAAGGACAAGTATCAGTAGCACAAGTGCACCACTGCTAGCTTTCCCCAGAGAACTAAACATCTACACATATGTGGACGTGCCCAAAGTGTTCATCCAGCATCATCAAGGATGTCAGTGGCAGATTTGGGAGTTGAAACTACTTCCCTGACCTCCTATCCATTGCTTAACCATTGGACCATGTACGCCCCCACAAGACGTTGACTTGTTAGACAATATATGTAAAATCTCAGTGAGAGTAATAGAGAATTTGGGTAGGCAGCTGCCCAGCCATCAGGGCTTGGGGTCCTCCTGGTTAGTCCAGGTGAGCTCCTAACTCTTATGTATATTGTCAGTTTGGGGTATAATTTTGGCACAACTTATCCTTATGCATAAAACCTTTAGCCACCAGGAAGTCTCCTTCATGCCGACTTGCATGGTCAGACTCACAGCATGGCCAGGAAGTAGGATGACCATGGGCTGGTGCTAGGGAGAGTTTGCATACTTGCAGGCTGGCATGCAATAGTGATGTGGACTAGACAGGTACTGAGAAGTGAAATGTGGAAAGGCCTGTGCTGGAGAACTAGAGACTGCAGTGTGTATATGACCTGAAATGTGGTGTGTTGACAGGAGCTCATGGAGCCTATAGAAATGTCTCACATTCTCCTTTCTGCAAAGGAACTGCTTTACAACCCCTACTTTTTTTTCCCCTCATCAATGCAAACATGATCTTTATAAGTAGTTCCATACTCATAGTCCTTATTGATTTTAAACATATGTTTACATCATGTGAGTTCAATTATAGCATCTGGGCTTTAGATAGTAGAACGTAGTGATCAACCCATTGCACAAGGTGTCACCAAGGTCAACTGGAGCCTGTGGCATGACATTTCAGCCCTGGTTACATATTCACTTTTGAGCACAGTGAGTGTGAACATTGATAACCAGCTGATGCATGATACTGGAATGTAAAACTTTTTTTCAGGATGTCATGTCAAGATTTTAGAAACCAATTTTCCAGCGTGTGTATTTGCAATAGTACACCAACATTTCTGGACTTTGGGGATCAGCATAATACAACATGGTTCATGGACACACATGCAAGTCAGTGGATTCGAGGACTCAGCGCAGGTGGAAGCAAGCCTCAGAATGGTAATAAACAGGGATCCTGGTTTTCTCTCTTTAAAAATAGCAAATTCTCTAATTAAAAAACCCAAAACTCGTGTTTTTCTGTGATTGATATGAAACCCCACTCTCTATATAGGTATCAGTTGAACACAATGTTTTATTTATATATTTACAATTTTAAAGCAATTTGGAAGCCTACCAGTTCCTCAATCACTATAATAAAATAAATGCTAAATACCTATATATTTTGGCATTAGATTTTAAGTTTTTTATCATGGAAAATCAGAGCTTCCCCTGCCCCCTTTGCTCACAAGGACACAGTTCCAGTTGTGGCTGTCCCCCCCACAGGTGCTTTGTGGCTCTGAGCAGCCCTGATATGCTGGTGCCCTGCCCATGCCATTGCCCCTCACTCCCCACCCACAGTCCCTTGGCCCGGCTGGTGCCCCTCCCCACCTACACTCAATGCCCCCACCCCAATCCCAGCCCTGCTGGAGAGGACCCCCAGCTGCCAGGGCTACAGGGCCAGGGACCCAGGTCCTCAGCCCCTTGTCCCCACCACATCAGTGCCTGAGCCCTGGCTGCCACCCACTAGAGGTGGCTGCTGCAGTGGAGCACAGAGTGCAGAGCCTGAGTTCTCCTCCCCAACATGCAGTACAGCTGGAGCAGAGGCTGTTGTGTGGGAGGTGGGCACAGGCTGCCTGCTGCGGGCTCAGGCTCCTCACCCAGCTGCCTTCCCCTGGGAGCCTCCACAGTACAGCAGGTGGGACTCAGTGTGGCAGGACAGAGCAGGGCTGGGCAGAGAAGCTTGGTGCCACTACTGGGAGCTCCACACCACCCTGGTGAGACACCCCCTGCCCACCTGGCAACAGTAGGGAGCACAACTCCATGCCACTGCCCCTGCTGCTGCCAGATGAGCAGTGGGTGCTTTGCCAGGATAGCACAGGGGTCATGGCAGTGACAGTGAGTCAAGCTTCCCTAATCTGCTCTGCCCTCCAGATTAATATATATGATTATCTATGATCCATAGATAATCATATATATCTCATATATCATATGAGATAATCATAGAGTCATAGATCCATCTATGAATCTATGAATCTATGCTGGGCCAGGTCCTGCCCGCGAGACTGCGGAGGTCCTGGGGTGGGGGGGCAGCAGGGTGGGGAGCCCTGAGCCCACAGCAGCCAGCCTGCATCTACATGTGCCTCCCATGCCCCCCCCCGAAATGTGCTCAGTGGCAGGGAGCCAGCTTCCCCCCCTCCCTCCCGGATGAGCTGCCTGCAGCTCTGTCTTATGCCATGACCAGGCCCTGCGGCCATGCATTTTAGTCTCAGGCCCCAAGATCCATGCGCCACCTGGGCTAGACAATGGCCCCAGCTCTACCAAACTCCTTCCTTCCCTCCCTCCCTCACTATGAGGACCTCAGTCCTTCCCCACTCTACTCTACCAAACTTACCTGTAGGGAGTTGCTCTCCAGGTTGCCTGGCAGCCAAGTGTATGTATCTGTGCGCACATACACATGGTGGTCAGGCAGTGGGCACCCTCCTCCCGCTCCCCCCAGCCCCTTACTTGCTGGAACCCTGCCAGCCTTCAAAGGGAAACCCACCATTTCCCACATTTTTCTTCTTTAAAGGACAACATCTGTTTTTTTTCTCCTTAAAATGAGAAAATCTGGGTTTTACCATGTTTTTCCATGGTGAATGCGAAACCTGTCCCCATTTTCTTCTCTTCCTCCAACCAAAAACACACACAAACAGCAAAACCTTCTAAGGACCACATTGCAAAAATAGTGATTAAAAATGGTTAATGCTTGATGTCTTCTACCACAAAAGCTAGCTCTCAGCAAAACAGACAGGAGTGAAGAGGCACCCCCCACCTCTGAGTCAACTAATGATTCATGATTTAAGAAATCCTGGACCTTTAAATCAAAACTCACTTGTCTGTTATTCTCACCTGGCTGAACAAGGAGTTACTGGAAGTCTCATTAGAGAATCCAATCTGGCAAGATATCCAGACTATTTGGCAGAGCAAAAAATTGTACAGAAGATATATGCATATAAGATGAATTGGTCAGAATCCCAAAGCAATTCTGGAGGTGAAGAAAAGGAGAGTATCTGTGTTTGGTACCTGATCAACCTCAGTGTTGCAGCCTCTGCTCTGAGTGCTTAGTTGTGGGGAGCTCTGATTTGCTATTGTTGTTGCCATATCACTATTGGCTTTTGTTATTTTAATCTAAGAGAGTGACTTGTGATCAATAAAGGGCTGCTTCTACCTTCAACATTGATCCCTTACTTAGAAAGAGATGGGTTTCAGTCTCCTCCTGTCACTGACTACAATGTTCTAACAGCAAAAATATCGCAAGCGTGTCTGAACTTGGTGTGTTAAGAATACAGGGTTAAGAATACAGGGAGGCATCAGTGCTTGTTCTGTTTGGAAAGCTCGTAGTACTCTATGGACAACATATGGAAGGAAGCCCCTGTCCATGGAAGTACATTTTCCCATCAACCCTTTAATCAAGCTCATAACTGAATGTGCCCTTGAGCAAAGTGTAACTACTTGTGAATAAACCATCATCTCCAAATACCAACCCAATATAGCTTTGCCCCTGTGATCTTTTAATATTTAAAGAATAGACAAGCTGAAGAGGAAGCTGTCTGCTCAGCCCCATGTGACCAGCTTGGATATTTCAGCACAGTTCTTTTAAGATTGTCATTACTTATCAGCTGTGCTTCTTAGGTCCATTGCTTTACAGGCCTACAAAGGCCTTTATGTTTTAGAAGCCAATCGTTGCTCCTGACACCTTACATTTTTTCATGGTGAACAATTACCTGGAAGATGAGTAGAATTTATTTGAGCTCTTCTTTCCATGGTTGTGCAGCTATGAAATCTAAGCCAAAATCCATTTCACCTCAGTGCATCTCTGTCTGCCCTTGATGTCTTGAGGAAAGCTAGCCTTGGTGCTGGACTGGGACGCAGCTCTGGGATAAGTGTTTGACTTCACCATAGCTTTTCTGTGTAGTCATTGTTCAGCTACTCAGTTAACTCTGTGCCTTAGCTCCCCCTCCCCAAGATGGAGATGGTCCTTTCTTTTTCACACAGTTGGTTGTCTTGTCTGTTTAGATTGTAAGCTCCTTGGAGCAAGGATTTTCTCTTACCATGGGTATGCCCAACATCTACCAGTCAGGTCCTCATCTTGGTTCAGACCGGTGGGCACTATTGTACCACCTCTAATTAAATGAATAATTTCTCAGCAGAAGCATTTTCAAGGAATCCTCAGTACTTCATCAAGGTGGTAGATGCTGATCAGAAAGAGAATAACGTTGTGGTGTCACTGATGCAAAAACCTCCCAACAATGCACAAGATACACCAAAACTGGACATTGGCTTTTTCATTTTCTGGGTAAGCAGTACCAGCTATTATGGGCAGCAAGTCTGGCAGTTTAGGTGTGGTTTAGTTTTGCATCTATATAGATATTAGAAGCTCAAATATGTCCTCCAATGCATATGGGAAGTTTCTGGTAACTTGAGCTAGAAGCAGCCATTTTACTTCCGTGTAGACTCTGACCTGGTGCATGTTAGAGTGCCTATGGGAAGAGGAAGATGTGGCAGACACACGTGGGCTCACTAATTCAGTGGGAGCCTCCTGTTTAAAACAGGCAAGGATGATTTGCAATCCTTCAGCAATGAATGTTGTGATTGTCAAGGCATTGTCACATATATTGTGGATATTGCAGCTGGTGGATTGTAAGTGGCCTTGCCACTGGCCACAGAGGTTTTTAAAACTGGGAGAATAAATGACATCGAGACTGGCCTGAATCAGACGTCACATATGTGCACTCTTGAATTCGAGGCAGGTTTCACTCAGACCCAAACTCTGAGGTTCAGGAGAGTAAATGATGTCATAAATCTACCGGTTACTCATGAAAAAATAGAGCACTGCTTGTCCCAGATTTTATTGCCCATTAAAAATCAGCGGCAGTGATCTCTGGTGAGGAGTAAAAGGTAATATAAAGAGCATCCATTCAGTGGAACTCCTAATCCTTGCCCACAATACTTCATGTTGTGTAGTTATTAGTCCTGCAGGATGCTGTAAGGACAGTACCTTAAGAGTTACTGCTGCTGCTGCTGTAGGTGAATAGGGAAATCTCTGACTATATCACTTGACTAGGAGTCCCTCAAGATTCATCAAGCATTGGGCATTTCACTGCCCTCTGAGCTAATGACCCATTTTGTCCAAATAGTAGTAATGGTGCTTGTTAGGGCTGGATTATGAAGCCCATAGTTGCAATGAATAGTATCTCTATAAGTAGCTCTATTGAAATCGTGGGAAGGAAGGGCCCTTGTCCACATAACACGTTACCTAGATTCACCTCAAGAAACGATGGCAAAAATTGCCATTTCGATAGCTTGGTCACATCTGCAGATACATGTTGACCTGGTTTTATCGTGGTAGGTTTCCAATTATCATGGTAAATTAGACCACCTCCAACATGTATTAGGTATTAAGGTATTAGAGCAGTCCTCATTGTGAGTAACAGCAGCACAGTCTGACCCTTGGTGAATTGCCTTTCCTTTCTCTGAAGTTATTCTGTATATATGCTGGGAGCAGGCGTTTGGTGTGGGAGTGATATAAAGTGGGAGGGGACCCAAACTGACAATTTCATATTAGATCATAATAAAAAGGGGATTTTTGTCTAATCAAGGGTTTTTGGAATAGAGGGCAGGTCTTTAGATTTGCTTGGTCTTATTGAAAATATGTATTTTTATCTCCTCAGGTTGAACCCCAGGTATGTTCACTTTATTTTCTTCTTTTCTTTTTAAATGTTCAATAATTTCCAGAGCTGGAGGCAGTGGGAGGGGCAAACTCATTCAAAATTGAATTTTCAGTCTGTGTTGTCATTAAAAACCTGGAAAAATATGATCAATTCCAATAATTATATGTATGTGTGGACAGCATATATATAAGTACTGCCTTCTCATATCCATATATTTATAAACAACATTCTTCAGGACTGAAGAGCAATCGCAGAAAGTGTGAACATTAACATTGATTTTGGCTGTATTGATTTCTTTAAGTTTACTGCAATACTTTAACTAATATTTTGCCTTTATTTCCTTGAAGTTTCTTTCCCCTTGGTGCATTGCCAGTATATCTCCTTGGCTGATATGTCACAAATCCAAACTTTAATGCAGTAAAACTGTATTTGTTGTGACGCATAGCATATAGAAACACACATATAACTGAAATGCAGCCATCTCTGGTGTGGGAAGCAGTTAACAAACACAGAGTACAGTAGACTGCAGACAGAGAAGGTTGGCCAAGTTCACCCGTGTAAACCTCTGATCTTTCAAGAAGTGCCAGATATCTAAATGGTGTAGACCAAAGCCTTGCCTTTTGAGGGTTTGTCTGAAAGATCAATAAACAGTGGACCTGAGTCCATGATAAACTTGTTTAACTCTGTAGACTCCAGTGGAGTTGTTTCTGAATATATTAAACAGAGGAGTGCCTAATTTATCCGCTGGTGATGTGTGAAGGGCTCAATTAATCTTACCAAGATGTGGATCCCTGTTTTTTAAAGAAGCCATAATTATCTCAAACCTGATACTTAGGACCCTTATGCATCCTGGTCTTCTAAGTCTGAAGATACCAAACACACACAAGGTGGTGCAAACCTTTTGAGTGTTCTTGCCAAAAGGGCCATGTCCTGAACTGGTGGGATTTGATGCAGCCTTAGCATCTTCAGCATAGCTATACCATTTCACACCAGCTAAGGATCTGAATCTGCATGTCTGATGTAGTAATTGAATTAACCTGAAATCAGGAAGCCAAGCAGTGTATAATTCTGTGGTCCAAGTCACCATTTCACCATAGAGCTCTGTGTTCCAATTTGACCGGGATCACAAATGGAATGAGTTTGGCAGTCATGGTGTCATCATCAGGAAATATTTGCCTATGGCTCACATCTGATGAAATGTCTAGCTCAAGCGAGGCCTCAGAATTTTGATGCAATGAAAGACCCTTTTAATGGGAAGCTTAAGACCTGCAGAGAGAAGTTGCTGGCATTTATTACTGAGGGATAGGGGCAGTAGAATTATGTAATTTTACCAGCCATATCATTCTATACTATAAGAATGTCCACACCAGAGGGTGTCACTCTTATAACGTTATTGGTTTAAATTCATATCTTAAATTATATAGAAGGAACTTTCACCTGTAAAGAAGGCCAGTTGCTTATACAGCTTCTCCTTTCGCTGGGCCTGACTGGCACATGCTAAAATTCACTCACCTCTCACTCCTCCCTGCAAAACAACATGCTCTCATTATTCATTTTTCAGTACATTTTGAGACCCATCAAATCACCACTTGGAAGCAGAATAGAGAGTAAGTGTTGGCAGGATAAGAAAGAAGCACTGTACAGTACAGGGTGCACAACAAAATGGATATGTCTGTATTTATTAAAGGGTTTCCTAGGGCTATGAGACATGGAGCACTAATGCATGGCTGGAAGGGAGGTTTAATGTTGTGCAATAGCTGGGTAAACATGGCCTGATTCTGATCTTGCACTAGCTTTACTCATTTGGGATATACAGGAGTTACTTCTGCGTTTTCAGTGGAAGGAGTTCAGAGTAAGGCTCAGATGGTGTAAATGAGGATTGCACCATTCATTTCAATGGAACAACACCCATTAATACCAGCTGAGCATCTGGCCTGGAATACCTTGAAGTCCAAATATCTCCCCTGTTCCCAATAGCAGTCTTTTTTCTCCCCCAGACAGAAGGCTTATAATATTTTCTCCTGACGACATGGCTCATAAATAACTGTGTCACGCTGTATAACCATTCTAAATGGAATTTATACACTCTGTTGTATTTGGGGGGAATGTGTTTAGTAAGGGCTTTTTTATTATGCTATCTTTACATGCCATCATAGTAATAGCTGTTACATTATATTTGTTTCCTCTTGACAAAAATATTGGAATAACAGAAGAAATATCAGGGTATGTTATTTCCTTTAAAAAAACCAATGTAAAGTTGCTGCTCTGCTGCTAGGAGATATTCTTGGCCGGATGAAATATTTAACCAGGGTTCAAACCATTCATGGCCATGATATGTCCCAGGGAAGCTTTTGCAAGAATAAGGTTATTTGCCTCAGTGCCCTGGACAAATTCCAGATCGGTTAACCATGCTTTGCCCATCTAAAATCCCACCCCTCCCCTCTAGTTCTTTTTCACTTGCTACACTCTTGCATAGTGCTGCTGGGTGCTCTTAACTGCTGTTCCACACCAGAGATGTTCACATTTGGTGGTGGGTGGGGTGATTCCCATTTACACAAGCTGGAATTTGTAAAGCTATTTTGGATCAGAAGTGCTGTGAGAGTACAAAATTGCCACTGGCAACAATTTCCTTCAGTTCCAGGACCAGCTGAATGGATTGCCGGCTGCATTTTTCTCCCAATATAAATTTACACCTTGGAAGAAAGGTTTCATCACAGCCCGAGACATCACCGGTTGCTTTACCTTGAGCCAAGGCACCTATGTAATTATTCCAGTTACGTCAAAAGAAGGCCAGGAGTCTGAATTCCTCCTAAGAATCTTCCTGCGGAGTCAAGATTACAGCAAGTAAGATTGTTATAAGTGCCACTTATATGAGCCATGTTTACAGTGTGCAGAGCTAGAATGCTTGTTAAGACTGTTTCTACAGTCAAGGCAAGTAATGCAAAATTTTGTTGTTATTGGTTTTGTGGAAAAATAATGCAAAGATAAGGTTTAGTGGCAAGGATGATGTTGGTAACACTAACAGGCATGTAGGCTAGGTGCACCTTTGTGTAGGATTACAGTCACAGAACAGAACAATGCTCCATCTAGGGTTATCAAGTCAATGATCACATTTCCACCAGATAGGCCCATGCTTTCCAGGAAAGCCTAAGCATTCATTAAGCATCATTTTGAGCATCGCATTACATTCTCTATATCTGAGATGTCCCTCCAGCTGGTAGTAAACTTCTGTTCCAAGTAAAAAGGACTCATACCTTGTGTTAGTTGCTGTTGTTCTTAAATAATTCCATTGCAATAATGCTGATAGGTCCCTATCAAGATAAGTGCCCCGTTGTGCTAGTGTTCTGCAGAGGCATTGAAAGATGGCATGGTGCTTACAACTGAAGTACCTGATTCTGTAGTGCAATTTATGTAGGTGGATTCATTGCACAGATCAATAACACTCCACAGGGGCTGGAAAGTCAGCCAGCAAAGATAGGTTTGTAGATTCTGGAACAATGCTTGTAAAGTTATTCCTAGCCAACATAAATGCATTTCCTGTAAATGCACTACATAATGGCACTGCCACAATACCCTGCACTATACCCTGTATTTGGATTCTCACATAATATAGCCCACACTTTACTTAAGAGATTGTTTGATGAACACTTCCTCTTACTTGTGATAGCAAAACATTCAAGCCCGCAGCAACAATTAGTTTTGAAAAAAGGCTTTGAGCTAGACTGACTTCATCGGGGCTATTCATATGAGTAACTGCTTGGTTATGCATGTTAGAGAGCTGCAGTCTGGGCCAATATCGTTTTAGCCTCTCTCAGGGGGAAGAATTCTGTCAGCTCTAGGACATGTCTGTTCTGCAGCCGTGGCACACCTGAGAGCACTACTAAAAACCACATCCAACCAAGCTGCTCCCACTCTGCACATATCATCCCCCTTCTGCTGCTTTCCAGGTCTTTGGCTCCACCCCACTTAAAAAGTGGCTGCAGAGGGTAACCTCAGACCAGTTACACTGTCTCATTTCTAGGTTTGTCATGGAGTTGAAGGAAGCAGGCAGGGTCTGAATTTGGTGGTCCTCTCAAGAGTGCTGCAGAGGCGGGATAGACATGCCCTTATGCACATCTGTTACTAACTGTGGCCTATAGCCTCCAAGGTGTGTTGGCAGCCAGCTCTCATTCATAACCATTGGGAGCTTGTTACCTAAATACCTTTTGTGGCTTAGGGGTCTTACTCCACAAATCATCTCACTGGGCGCATCTACACAAGATGTTTAAATGCAGAGCTGCCTAATTAGTTCTGCAGTAAACTTGCAGTGTCTGCATGTGCAGTGCTATTAGGACAGAGTAAACTAATTAACTCTGCCATAGATTAGTACTTGTAAATACAAGTACTATCCTATAGCAGAGTTATTTACTCCATTGCAACACATATATAGATGCTGACAGGGCTGGCTGGGGCATGAGGGTATTCAGTGTGGGGGCTGTCAGCCAGCTAGCCACACACTGGAGCGCTCTTATGACCCAGTACTGGCATGTTGAGCTGGGTCCGAGCAGCCCTGGGCTGGCAGACTGACCCCCCCCAGACCTCCTGCCAGCTGGGGCTGCTCCAACCCAGTGCAACATGCTATGGTCCTGGGCACACATGTAAATGCGGTACCCAGAAGCAATAAATTCTGGAGCAGTTTGAGCCAGAGTAAACTACTCCTGGGCACAACATGTACACGTGCGCCCAGGACAGCAGCAATTTGAGCTGAAGCAGAGCAGTCCCAACCTGGCAGAGGGCACAGGGGGGTCAGCCCTGGGCTCTGCCTGCCAGCATCAGGTGGCAGAGGGGCTGGCTGAGTCACAAGCACGCTAAAAGTGCAGAGCCATGTGGCTAGGCAGCTAGGAGCAATTTACACCCATGGTCAATGTCTACATGTGAATTTAATCACAGTAAATCACCCCAGCATAAGATAGTACTGTCCCAACATTATTATCTTATTGCAGGATTAATTAGTTTACTGTGGCCTAATACTGTCACATGTGTAGATGGTGATGCTTTACTCTACAGCTAATTAGTCTACTCCGCGGTTAAGCACATGTGTAAACACGGTCACTAGGCACATTGACACATACAATTAATGTGATGCAGTAATTGCCGGCATATGTTGAGCCAGAGTTTATTGCTTCCAGGACCATGTTTAACACATGTGCCCAGGACCATAGCACATTGTGCTGGCTCAGAGGGGGCAGGGGGCTCAGAGGGGTCAGCCTGCCAGCCCAGGGCTGGTCCGACTTGGCTCAATGTGCTGCAGAGGGGCTGGCTGGGGCTGTGCTGCAGAGGGGCTGGCTGGAGTCAGCTGGCAGCCCCTGCACTGAAGTGCTCTCATGCCCCAGTGAGCCCCGTCAGTGTCTATGTGTACATTGTGGCGCACTAAAGAATGCTACTGTAGGATAGAACTTGTGTTTACAAGTACTAACCTAAGGCAGACTTTATTGCAGACTTTACTGTGGCATACTACATACTATGCCTAAGGCAGACTTTACTGTGGCATAATAGGGCTGCACATGTAGACACTCAGATTTTACTGCAGAGCTAGTTAGGCAACTCTGCAGTAAACATCTCATGTAGACATGCTGACTGAGTAGCAAGATACTGTTCAGTGTGCACATCTACATGAAACGTTTGTTGTGGCATTACGTAATCAACTACACAGTAAAGTCTCAGCATCTACTTTTACAGCCTTATTGGGTTGCAGTAAACTAATAAACACTGCTGTAGGTTAGTACTTGTCAATACAAGGGCTATCTTATGGTGGCATTATTTAGTGTGCTGCAGTGCACGTGTAGATGCTGGCTGGGGCATGAGAGTGCTCAGTGCAGGGACTGCCTGCTACCTAGCCCCACAATATGTGCCAGAGTTTATGGCTGTGCATAGACAAAATGAGGGGCATGTGTGCATGACACTTTGAAGCAGGTTACATGCTTTTATACCACTTTAATGGTGTCAGTGTTTGCACGCGTCGGTGGTGTATCGCTCAGTAATTCCAGACACTATAGCAAATTTGGTGGTATAATGCACCTTAAAAGACTTGGGGTGCAGCAAACTAAAACTCCTCGGGGGAGGGGAGGGCAAGCTGCCGGCAGAGTTTTAGTTTGCTGCCCTACAGTTGTGGAGTGAAGCACTGGGCTCCGTGCAGCTCTGGGGCTCTGCAGGAAGCCCATGCAGGCAGCCTAGCAGCAGCCCAGGAAGGCAGGCTTCACCCAAGAAAAGCGGCGAGCCTGATCTTTTTTTTTTTTCCTGGAGCCTGCCTACCTGCCTGAGCTGTGCAGGAGCCTGGTGCTTCCCTCTGTGGCTGCATGTACATTGTGTCCCCCTGTACCCCCTGGGATTGCCCGAGCCAGGTGCCTGTGGCTACACTCGGAGCTAGGGAACTGCTGTACTACAATAAACACAGGGAAATATAAAGTATGCTACAAATATTGCTTCTTCAACTAAAGCAAGATTGGAGTGCTGAGCGCTGCTCTTTTATTTGCCTCAGTAACAATGAGGCCAACAGGTTAATTTTTATGTGGACTTTAAATTTGTCTTCTGTGTTAAACTTGTTGCTTTTTCATGTCCTCAAGTGCTCCTTGAGTCTTTTTAGTAATAATATTAATCTTGTGTTTGTAACTATTAAACTGGCTAAAAGGAAATGAGGTGAAGATTTCCTAAAGATATGCTCAGTGTAAGGCAACAAGGATCTCTTGCCTTCTTGTGAAGAAAGCTCTGCTTGAGTAGACAGTGGGCTTGATTCTCTTCTTTCTGATACTAGTGTAAATCCAGAGAAGTTAGTGCTCAGTAAAATAGGTGTGAGAAGAGAATCAGGCCCATTTTGATCACTGCTACAGCAGTACACCATTCCAATTTGACTGAGAGCCACTTGCAAGGTACTGCCCTCAAATGTGAGTCCTCAGTGTGTTTGCAAAGCAAGAAACTGCACCACACATCCATTTTTATTTAATGAAGTGGCTTAATAAAGATCCCCAGGCACTGGATTGCTTATTGAGATTTATGAGGTCCAGTTATGAACCAAAGCCATGTGTTGCTCACTATTACAAGCATCATTGCTGACACACTCATGGTAACTGAAGAGTGGGACTCCCAGGCAGTGTCCACTACCCTCTTCTGCAGATATGCACTCAAATGCTCTCTTTTCTGATATGACTCTTGTGATATTTTCTAGAGACCCGAACACCAGGCTCAGCCTCATATCGCCAAAGGTAGGAACATGTGAAAAGTGATTTAGATCAAGGGTTAGCAGCTTATGATGGCTGAAATCCAGCTCACAGCAGCACTTAGCCTGGCCTGGCATGCCTCCCTTCTCTGCCATTGCCATGCTGCTGATTTCCTAAGGGTTGCCCCCATTGCAGCACTCCATGCTTTCTCTGCACCCCCTTTGGCAGGCACTGCTTACCGTCACCACCAAATTTGGCCTTCACCATTGCCATTGGGAATGGGAGTCAGTGATGGTGCAAGGCAGAGACAGCAGCAGGTGGCCTGGGCGCTGCCGAGGGGATGGTAGCTTGTGGTAGTGGCTGGGTCAGAAGTAGCTGCCCCTCTTCTCTGAAAGGGAGCCAGCCTCTGATTTAAACAACTGGAGATACATGAATCAGCTTTATGGTACAGGTGTTAAAAAGCCTCTTTTCTTCCCCCACTTTTCTCCCTCCCTTACTACCATGGCTTTTGCTTTCTCTTTTGTCTGATGCCTTGCTCTGGGCTCAGCACAGCCATTCTGCACTCCTTTGTACCATTTTGCTAATAAGACTAAGGCAGGGCTGTCCAACGGGCCTCATATAGCCCATGAGGGGATAAATTGTGGCCTCTGGGCTCCAACCCAGCCACTGCTCCCCCTATCACTCCAGCTGCAGCCTCTGGGCTCCCTCTCCCTCTGGTGGGGCCTGCAGTCTGCAGCCCAGGGTACCTGAGTGGCACAGTGAAGTATAGGGGAAGGAGGGCACCTGGGCACATGGTGTAGTAATGGGTGCATGGTGCAGTGGGGGAAGAGAGGCATGCAGCACGCGGCCCCATGCACCCCTAATGTGATCCACAGGGTGTGCAGCCCCCAGCTGCTTAGAAGTTGGACAGCCCTGGACTAAGAGACCAGTTCATTGGAGAGAGAACTTCAGAACCAGGTCCTTGATATTTAGTGAATGTACCTGAAATCACTGTCATCAAGACTATGCCAATCTGCAGCACTGCATCTTTACTTTCCACATGAGGATTAGTCCATGTAAATAGAAGAAGATGGATTGCCAGAAACAAATACTCTTTAATGCAGCTCTGCTCTGATCCTGATTCCTCTCACTCCTCAGTTATATCAATGTCTCTCTAGGAAAGTTGGTGAAACGACACCAGTTATAACTACTGTGAGATTAGATTTGGGCCCACATAATTGCTGCCCATGTGCAGTACAATTTCTAGTCCACCTGCTCAACTAGCCCTCTGTGACTTATAGACTTTCCAGAGCTGGCATACTCTACTGGACAGCCCCCTCCTGCCTTGTGTGGCGCTTCAGTTTGAAAAGCACTGTGCCTGATTTTCCTCTTGCTAAGAGCAGTGAAAAGTAGGAGTACCAGCACTACATTGAATAGTGTCAGAGAAGAGAAACTCGAGCCCCTTTTTGCTAATGATGGAGTCAGCAATTAAGCCCCATTAATGAGAGCATAAACATAAGTATCTATTACCCAGTTGCATTCAGACGCTGTCAACTTCCCCACCAAATGTCATTAACCAATATTTCGCCTTTTCTTAACATGGCACCTGATTCTACAAACTTTGCTCATATAAACTGTCCTTACTCATGTGAATCATCCTATTTAAGTCAGTGGAACTACTTGCATGGGAGAGGATTAGCAGCCTGGGCCCAAAAGATGAATTCAATGCTGCCTATGCAGTCTTCCTCTCAGACATGTCTCCCTCCTTCATGTATTTCTGCCTAGGCTTTCCAATTCCTATTCTGATTTTCACATACTCCTGACCATCCATCTAAGATTCTTCTGACCCCTCCTTTGTCTCTGTGCTTGGAACCATTAGCATAATGAGGGGTGGGTAGCCCAGGCACCAGCCTCAGGCACCTATTTAAAGGGCGTGCAAAAAAAGCAGTTGCCACCACTGCCCCAGCCAGCTCAGCCCCTGCCAGCACCTGTGTAGGATGCAGCATCTGGGAGTTACACCTCTGCTTGGAACATCCTTCCATTAAGGGACACCAAGGTTTCCCCCTTGTCCTCCTTCAAATCCCTTCTGAGCCCCTGCCCCTCTTCTATATAGCAATAACATCTACGCGCTGCTTCTTGTCTAATCCCTGCTGCATCTCTTCTTTCCTTGGAACTGCCAGGTCTTTGAGGCAAAATACTGTATCCTTTGTTATACATATCTTACCAGCTATAAAGTGCTGTATGTGTCTACAAAGCTACATAAATAATCAGGTTTTTCCCCCTACCTCTGTTGTGACTAATTTCAGTATGTGCTTGTTCTGCTTTAATCCAGGATGTATCCAAACAGAACCAAGACAACAACTATGAAAACATCTTTCTAAGATATGCTAAGCAGGTACCCTCAATAAAACTGCTTAATAGAAAAAAAAAAAACAATAAAAATGTGTGGGGCATTGAAAAAAAATAGCTCTGTTCTTGCTATCAATCCACACTGAAAAATGTCTTTAGAAATAAATGTGGGTTTATCAATCCTCAAATGGATATCCTCAAAACAGTATTGATCTGCCTGCCAAAATCCAGAGGAAAAAAAAATGGAAGATGGAATAGAATGGCTAGCTTGGTATATTAGAGGATGATTGTTTGTTTGGGGTTTTTTTTTAACAAGCAATTAGCAGTAAGTCTTGGATATTTTCCCCCTCTGATCAGGATTGTTTCCAGCTTGCATTTGCTGCATTTGGAAAGCATACATCAGTCAGTGCTGGAGTAATTGATTCCCGTTCTCTCTGAGCCAAGCTGTGTGTGTTCACAGGAGATGCTTTTAATGGTTTAATAAACTGTTATAAAGGACTCCTTGACTTAGTCAAGGGAAAAAAATTGCTGCCAAAAGCTTTTGCACAATAGACCTCTCACAGCTAATAGCTATATCAGTGCATAAAGGTGAAAATGACACAGACAGTCATACAGAATGCACTGGAGGGGTCTTGGGGTGTAGTGGGGACAAGGAAGGCAGATTTTATATGTCAGCAGATGAACAGCTTAGATCTATGGGGTCAACATACAAGAGACAGTGGCTCAGAATCTCAGTTTGCTTATGCCAGAATAATAGTGAATAGATAAATCCTCTTGCAGCATAAAGACAGGGTAGTCACTCCAGCCCCCTCTCCACTTACAGGTATTGCACTATTAACTGGTTAATTGTGCAATTACCTTAAGACGAACTTAATTACCTTAAGTTTATTAGATCCCATTGTGCCTTTACCTGAATGTGTACGGGGGTCTCTTATGCCATATCCCTGCCTGGTGGCCAAGAAAGAGGGTGTGGCTAGCGTGCCCTTGTGTATTCCTACTTGCTGTACAAGTCTCTGGAAACTACTAGCAGGAGAAAGCAGCCTTCATGTTGCTCGAACTCATGAGAGGAACCTTGCCCTGTACCTAGAGTTTGCAGGATTGGGAAGGGACACAGAGGTGGCTACGTACCACCTCTTCATTCTTCTCTGAGTCACAAAAGAAGTTGGTGGCTGAGCTAGGCATAGAATAAGTGGACTTGTATAGAGTGCAGGTTAACTGGTATAGTGCACTGAGTACTTGAATGAATCATCTCTACTTTTAGGTGGCCCAACATCTCCAAGCATACAATCAAATAATTAATTAAGCAATAGTAAAGGTTGCTGGGGAGGCCTGATACCCCGAACGCCTTGGTGCCAAATATGTCACTACATTCCTTCTCACTGACAAATTGATGCCAGAAATGATTCAATCTCTGAATCATAACAAATAGCATGTGAAAGAAGATGTATCCATGAGGGACTGTTTCAAGTGAGTCGAGAGGAATAAACTGGTGACCACACTGATGCTGATAAAACCCCAGGTAGAAACATATGTCATGTCATAACTCAGACCTTCCCTGCTCCCTCCTGAATTGGCAAGAGATCATTATTTCAGAGAAATGGGCAAAAATATAGAAAGTTTGTATCTGAACCAAATACGACTCTGCAGTTCCAAAGCACACATGTGGGAGTCTGAAGTTTGTCTTTCCTATGATAACAGGCTCTGAAGGACCTGAGAAGCCATCAACCTGTAGTCAGTATATCTGTATATTCACTACTGTATGTAGCTGTTACTGGTAATTTTGCCTAGTTGCTGATATCCCAGTAAACCAATGTATAATTCAGAGGAATTTTGCTTTGGCTTATCTTGTGCATCTTCAGATAAAAAAGACCCCCAGAGCAATCCTAGCTGGAACAAGGTGAGGTGGGGGTTAAGCCATCACATAGAGAGTCCAGAATCCTATGCTTTGCTCAGCCACAGACTTCTTTTGTGACCTTGGACAAGTAACTTAGGCTTAAATCCAACATCAGGTTTAGACAGGTAGGCATGCTGTTAAGATAGCTATATAAGCAGTAGCCTAACTAGGGTGGGGAAACAGGTGCAACCTCCCTGGGTGCTGACAGGGGTGGGAGGGTGAAAAATACAGCTTTTGCCCCAACTGCATGATGGTAATAGCAGCTGCAACCAGCAGTCATTGCTGTTTCTGTGTGTAGCAGCCTTCCCGGGCACCCAGCCATGTTTTTATGCTGCTGTCTATGCAGCTTGAGATCATCAGCAGACTATTTGCAGATCTAAACATTGTCCTTCTTACTGGAAAGGCCAATAACCCTGTGTAAATCACAAAACAGAGGACAATCATCTTACTCTTTCTCCAGTAGCCTGGTGGTGAGGGCATTTGCCCTACAAGGAGGAAGCCCCCTTCAGCCAGAGAGGCTTTGCACCTACCTAATATAGTACCATAACCAACAGACCAGGGACTTACATATTGAAAGTGTCATTCTCCACCTCTGATATTTAAATTGGTCCACTGAGCAGCCAAAAGGAGAAGATGTATGGGGACAGGAGGAAAGTGTCTTTGGAAGTGTGCCTCACTTGTTATATCTTCTCTTGGCTATCAGTGGACCAGTGTCAACAGGAGAGCACTCCTGAAACTGCCTAGCCCATGGCTTGCTTGCTAGCTACAATGTACCACAGAGAAATAGCTAAAAAAGAAACCCCTCCAGCAAGGACTGGGAGTGAGAACCTGAGTCCTCCAGGCTATGGGCAAGTGCCCTAATCACAAGGTTTCCAGGCTAAAAGTAGGTGGTTTCTTTGTCAACCTTCCCTGACGTAAGTGGTGTTAGCCTGCCAAAAGGGGATTGGATGTGGATCTTAAACCCTCCAAAGCTGCTTATCTATATGAAAATGGGGAGAATACTTCTCCACTCTGCCTTGTGGCAATAATATTCAGAAAGCACTTTGAGATGCTTGCATTGGCAATGCTGATTATTGTTCTACAAAGAAAAGAAAATGGTTCAGAGATCCCAATTTGTCCACCCAATTTGCAGCTGTATCACTCCACTAACCAATGGAGTTACTTCTGATTTCTAGTGAGTGAGGAAAAGAAATCAGGGTCAAGGTGAGAAATAAGGAAACCCAGTGCTTATGAAGGCTCTTGTTTGTTCTGCCTTAGGGTTCAGATATCAATGCCTCACAGCTGCAAAGAATTCTTAATGAAGTGCTCCTGAAAGGTAAACCACTTTGGGGTCTACTTTGTGTTCATTGTGTTTCCTTATTCTTGGTCTACTGTCAGAGTGAGGGCTTCATGCTAACTCGGATGGTCTTAAGCAAATGCCCACTCTGGTTGAGAGAACTGTTTTATCCAGAAGAACTGAAAACTCTCCGCTGGGATTCCCTTTGTGCTCAAGAGTTATTTTAGAAAAAGTATGATCACATGAAGAGAAAACACACAGCAAAATAGTTTTACAACCCGGACCAGATTCCCATAACATACCCCAGTCATTATGGTCACAGAGATTAGCACATGTTGCATCTTCACCACCCTTCCTATGGGGATCCTTGAGGTTTTGAGCCCAGAACTTTGGAACCAGCCGCAGAAGCCCAGGCCACCAGGCACCTGGCCAGCCCCCAGCCCCAGCTGGAACCATTGGGAACCAACAAACACCTGACTCGAGGGCTATAAATCCTTCCACTTGTTGCAGGCCCTTGTCCCAGCAACAGCCTTATTTGGTGCAGTTGTTTATGACACTCCTGACTTCAGTTAAATCTTGTTACTGCCTTGAATCTCCTGGCCTCAATTGTTTGCTCTGACCATGACCCTCTCTTGACATCCTGGAACTGGGACTGATACCTAGTGCTGACCTCTTTTCCATTCTGGTATACCCCTAATCATTAAGACTGACTGCCTATGCCCCAGTCAACTCTTACATTCTTGTTCTAACCCTTAGTGTCTAAATAGTGCTATAATGGCCTCTCCATTCAAGAATATCAATCAATCAAGATTACAATCAAGAGTATCCCTCTTATTCCTGCCCTGAGTCCCATACAGATCCATCCCTTACCCACCTGCAGCCTGTCCTGCTGTTTTAGCTCTTGGACCTCACACAGCTGTACTGAGGTCCTCTTACTATGAGGCTGCAGTGCCTCTGCTAGCTAGTCCTTACACCACTTTTCCAGTGGCCCTCCACCATGCCTCAAAGCCCTGACATCCCTGTTTTATTTTACTCCTAACCTTCTCACACAGCCCTGGTCTGTCACCTCAGACTTGACTTCAACACTCCCTTGTCAAAGTCTGATCTTGGTCTTCCCCATTCCCAGACTGTTCCACCTGCCAGCAACTAAACATTTGATATAGTATATGACTAAGTCCCCAAACAAGGGATCAATGCAATTATTTACACAAGGAATCCAACATGTTGTAGAATTCATTCATCTGGTCTAAATAGTTTTTTTCTGTAGCTTTAGCTTATTTGTTCTTTATTTCTAATGAGAAATTATTCCATCTGTAAAGAGGGAAAAGGGGAGCACCAGCATTGTGTGGAACCTAGGTAAACTGTGGGCCCATTTGAGAGATGTGACACAGCCCCTTCAGGGAACCTGCAATTCTAATTGCAACTCCTCCTGCTGTTTCAGAGCCTGTGCCAAATCCTGGGGGTGACATGGATTCTCCATTCCAACCTAACAGTGACACGTGCAGTCGCACTGGCAGAAAGTGAAGAGTTAACTCCATCATGTACCATTGCTTTTCTTAATGCTCTCAGGCAGCCCTCTTAGTCTAGCCATCTGATCTCTTTTTGTTTTATCAATTCTTACATAGATCAAATGGCCGGCCCAGAAGGACGATTCAGCTTTGATTCATGCAGAGGCATTTTAGCTCTGATGGATGTATCCTTTCAGCAAAAGCAATAAACTACCCCTGCACTGCCCATCCTTGCCTTGAGTTATGGCTGAGCTGAGCCTCTCATTGTGAGAACTTGCAAGTAAATATTTTCCATGATTTCCAGTAACTAACATTCCCACAGTATGTTTGCGATGCACCCTTGCTCTGCATCTCCCTGATGATAGTGTGGTTGGGGTGGGGGCATATTCCTCTCTCTCATTACTTCAAAATATGTTACTAATAATTACATTGCCCTTGTCTTCAGAGCTCTCAGTGATTAATATGCCATGGCTCCCAACTTTAAAAACATCTATTGGCTCCCATGCAAAAACCTTTGGATTTGGCAAGGCCCACTCTATAGCTAGCACTCATGGGCAGATCCAGGATTTACTAAAGGTGGGGGGGAGGGGGCAGCATATTGCCCCTCACACCATGTGGGAGTGGGGGCAAGGCATGGCCATAGCCCCTGGGATAGCAGGAAGCCAGGCAGAGAGCAGGCACATGAAGGCTAGGGACCCACCCACTGCCACTCTCCCTGGCTGACCCAGGCACCCAAGAGGTGCTTCTGCATCACTTCAGCAGGGAGCTGTGGGGAGAAGCAATGCTGAGGGCAGCAGCGATAGCACTCATATTCCTCCTTCCAGTGCCTGCTCCCTGCCTAACCAACCCCATCCCCAGAGTGCCCCTCGCCCCCAAAAGGAGGAATCTGTATGCTACTGCTACTGTCCCCAGCTAAATCCAGCTCCCTGCGCAGCTGCTCCTTGCAACCTGTGTCTAGAGTAGGGCAGGAGGAGCTCTGGGGCTCCTCCTGTGCCTGTGCCAGCCAGGAACAGTGGCAGTGACACAAGGTGGGTTCCTCCTTCTGGTACCTGCTCCCAGCCAGTGAGGGACATGGGGAGGGGAAGCAGCAGAGAGCAGGTGCAGGAAGAAGAAACCCGCCCATTACTGCTGCTCTCCCCTGCCAAACTCGGCACCCCACACACCCTGCAGCTGGAGCAGGGCAGGAGTGGCTCAAGCTTCACCTGTGCCACTGTGGGTCATTTGGCGACAGTGGTGGCAGAAGGGGGTGTGACTGCACTGGTGCACCTCTCATCCCCTACCCCCATCTGCCCTTGCTAGCACTCTTCCTGTCCACCTTTCCTTCAAGGCTGCAAGCTTGGCTTGTCTATAAACTGTTGATTCAAGGCCACTGCTTTAAGTGTATTGTGACAACAATTAAGCTATGATTTCTGCTGGCCACTCAAGCCCTGGCCAATGTCTGAGGTGAGACACTGTGTCACTCTGGAGTCACATGAAGATGCTTGGCACACCATTCTTCCTTTGGTATGTGCCTTTTCTATTTAGATGGATCACACAGTCTTTTTACTGTTAACAAGACAACATTGGAAATACATTGCTGGCCCTTGTAGAACAAGAAGGTTCCTTGATGAAAACATAAATTCTCCCCTGTGCATTCTCTCTCTTGCTGTCTCTTTTTTTTCTGGGCCTTGGAATAACTCTGAGACACTGCCAGACCATTTCAGATTGCCAGAAAATGAATAAAAATGACCAGCAGCTCCTCTCTTTCTTCCCAGCTTTTGTGTATCTGTCTGGAGAGAGACACAGGGAGACTTTTCTGTTGCTATATCCCTCACTGCCTAAGTGGTCATTGTGAATTCACGGCATGTGCAGGGAGATGACACAGCCACTCTTTGCCCCACTATTCCATTTTTATTCAAGACAGATTTTTCATTCACTAAGTTGCTGTATAACCCATATACAGTGTGACCCTACTGGCCTTTTAAAGACAGGAACAGCCACACTAGCTAAGTTTTGTGGCAGCAGCAAACACCCACTCTCATTTAGCTGGAGCTCAGTTCTGCTTTAAGAGAGCTTGGGCAGCCACTGACACCTTAAGTGAAGTGCTGTGCTAGCAGGGGGGTGGCAGCTGGAGGAAGCCTTTATCTGCAGAGGACTGAGGCAGACAGGATACCTCCAGCAGTACTAGAAGCAGACTCACTCCAGAGTAGCTGCTGTGCTTCCTTTATGGAGCTACTGTGAGCTCTCTTCACGGCCAACTTATAACTGCTAAGCAGGGTGCAAAGGAGACTAGGTCCATGGGCTCTTCTCTCACAATTAAGAGTGACCCCTTGGGGTATCTGGTTCTGCTTGTGAGTGCTATGACTACTATGTATCTTATGTTCATAAAGCTCCCCCCCTCCCTATCTCAGGAAATAAATAGCACAAAGGCTTCCTGAATGTTGGCTACAGGGCTGGTGATGCTTCCTGGTGCTCTCTTCTACCCTAGTGCATGCTAGTGTGAAAGCAACAAAACCTTGGCCAGCATGATGCCCTGTAGACAGCATGCACAGAGCTGCTGTGCTTACCCACCGAACCTCACAGAAGTGGCAGAACCACACTAAAGCAACATTTGTTCCTGCCCAGATGCAGCTGCATTTCAGTGGGATCATGTGTTTTGAATGGATTTGTAACTTGAGGATCATACTCTGAAATGAAATGCAATTAAAAAAATATAAGATATTCATTGATTTTTAGTATGAGTGAAAGAAGGTCTAGAATGCACAAAATAAGTGAACTTCAATTCAAAGGGTAACTAAGAATCTTTAAGCTGCATAGTGCTTTGCTTTCTTCAGTTTAAAATAACAAAGCAACAGAGATTTCTTTCATCCCTCTTTGGTGGTGAAAGCTGTGTCCAAAATGTCATTTCAGGAGAAGCAGGATTTCAGTCAGCTTCCAGTAAAGGATTAATCTTTAACTACATATGCAGCTCAGTTCGAATGGAAGACTCACCCTGCAAGAGTTCAAGAACCTTTGGAAATGTCTTGCTAAGTATAAGGTACATCTGAACTGTCAGTGATCCATGTTCTCTGCCACTGTACTATTGTATTTTTAATTAGTGGGATGCCAACATGCTCAGAAATCAAAATATTGTTGGGGGAAAAAATTGCAAAGGCTGTGCAGCTTAGTAGATCAAATGCCAGCTTTATCATTTAAGAAAGGGAGGAAGCTCCAAATACTGGATGCGGAGCTGTATGTCAGAAGGTCTAAGTGGTAAGAGCAACTGAGCCAACAAATTAGGCAGCAGGCATTGAGGAAGAAGTTACAGCAACAGGTATTGAGGACCGTGTTTGGCCCCAAATTTCTACAGAGGAGTAGGCCCGGTGTTCAGTGGGATAACAGCTGTTCACACATAGCTGGTTGGGAAATTTTTAGCACGTTCTTTTGTTGGGAAAATGCCAGTACAGTCAACCCAAACTTTTTGTGGAAGCATACCAGATTAGAAGACATTTTCTTTGGAGAAGACTTTACAGCTTATAGATAGAATTTCTGGTAAGAAATGGAGACTGTATACATTGCCCCACAATAGCCAGGTGGTCAGGAACCCCACATAGGAAGCAGAAGATGGTTCAAGTCCCCTGATCAGAGTCAGACAAAGCAGGGTATTGAACATGGGTTTCCTCATGTCTTGTGTAAGTGCCATAACTACCTGGGTAGTCTTTTTCTGGGAAAAAAAACCCTCACGCTGTGTGTTTTTCCCAGAATAAAAATCTTGAAAGCATTCTACTTCGTCCTGATGCAGAATGATAAACAGGTTTGTGGAATGAGAAAGCAGCCTGCTGCCCAATTCTTCCTGTCTTCTCTCTTGAGATGGTTTGTGGCCATCTCAGCTCTGTCCTCACCTTTTATAAATAAATATGGCTTCATTGAAAACAGAGCTACACCCAATTATACCAGGTGAGGATATACTCCTTAGAACAGTGGTTTTCAACCTTTTTTTCATTTGTGGACCCCTAAAAAATTGTGAATGGAGGTGTAGACCCCTTTGGAAATTTCATAGATTTCATAGACATCAGGGCTGGAAGGGACCTCGGAAGATCATCGAGTCCAGCCCCCAGCCCAAAGGGCAGGAAGTCAGCTGGGGTCATAGGATCCCAGCAAGATAAGCATCCAGTTTCATCTTGAAGGTGTTCAATGAAGGCGCTTGAACCACCTCCGGTGGCAGGCTGTTCCAGACCTTGGGGGCTCGGACAGTAAAGAAGTTCTTCCTTATGTCCAGCCTGAAACGATCTTGAAGTAGTTTGTGACCATTTGACCTCGTCATCCCTTGGGGCGCTCTGGTGAACAAACGTTCCCCCAGATGCTGGTGGTCACCCCGATAAACTTGTAGGTGGCCGTCAGATCACCCCTGAGCCT